ACTATGGAGGAGGAGGATATGGACGTCATCACCACAGACATGGATATTATGGTTAAATGGAAACAATGGATGCATCTGAAATATTTGTGATATTGCAATTAGGTTCGCTGATTTTCAGTGTACATTGGTTAAATGGAAACAATGGATGCACTTGAATTATTTGTGATATTGCAAATAGGTTTGCTGATTTTCGGTGTATGTACAATCACTGTAAGACGAGAAGGTTACTGAGTTAGTTACCGCTACTGATAAACTTGCACTCAATGATAAACTTACGATCATTCACTGTAATTTTATCCGGTCAAGGTAAAATTGTGGTCACTGTAATTTTGTACGATCAATGTAAAACATACAGTCATTGATAAACTTACGAACTGATAAATGAAACGGAAGATAAACATGCTATTAATGTTAAACTAACGGTCTCTGTTATACTTGCACATCTTCTGGAAGTTGCTAAACTGTTCAAGTTACAGCCATTGTCGTAATTTTCTGGTATTTGGATATTCCTGAAAATTTTGACTGATAGAATTTTTGGGGTCAACCTTTATGTTTTGGATAGTTGTCTTGAATTATTTGGTCGCACTGATTTATTACATTTACTAACATTCTATTCAACAACTGTCACTGAAGATAGTAAAGGTTTATTATATGGAATCACCTGCCTTGTATGGAAATATCAATTGAGACTTTGCTGTTGCCTTATATTAACGGATTGGAAAGGAGATTTTTAATTGAGACAATAATGATTGGTCTTAGATTAATGGATTAGTTAAGAGACTTTTAATTGAGACTCTTATCTAAAGCCTCTAAATAATGGATTAAAAATAAGAAGCTGGTGCATTTGTATTCGTTCCTTTGAAATAAAAGCCATCGGGAATAAAATATTGTTTTATAAAAAAAACATGTGTAATCAAACGGAGAAGACATTAAAAGTTATACCGTTCGTTAGTTATATTAATGTCGGAAACAATCTATAAAGCTGGAAAATTAATTCAAATCTCATTAATTTCAATCTTTTCTAAATTAGGACATGACAAAATAACAAAATTGTTTCAAGGCTACAAGACGAATAATAATTTTTGTAATTTGAACTTTTTCGTGCATTTCCCCTGTAATTTATTTAAAAACATTTCAAATTTTTTTTGAACATCAGTATGTCGAAATCAAACGTAGAATCTCAATTGAAGTTAATCCTTACTATAATGTATAATTATAGTAATAATTAACTATAATTTTGTTCTTGTTTCCTATTATAACCGATAATTTAGAAATCAATAAAAAATTAAGTTTAACAATATTTAAAGAATATTCCCCGGAGGATATTTGCACACGATATAAGGATTATCTAATGGAATAATTCCTGTACCAGGATTTCGGTTTTAACCACAATAAATCCTTCATCGGAACTTACGCGGATTAAATTTTATATTAGTGAAATAATTTTCCATCTTCTTGAATGTTCCGCTGAATTATTTACTTTTTAATCATGTCCGGGCCTATTGCTGGGAAAAACTCAATAATTTAAAATTAATTTTTTTATCCTGATAATTGCTTTATCGAGACTCAGCTACTTGTAATTCCAGAGCTAGTCAGAGTAAATCGGAATTCAGACTAACAATCACAGAGCAAGTGAGATTAACAACCTCAGAGAAAATCCGAGTAACAACTTCAGAGCAAGTCAGAGTAACAACTCTAGATAAATTCAGAGTAACAACCCCGTAGCAAATGAAAGTAACTTCAGAGCACGTCAGAGTAACAACCCAAGAGCTAGTCAGAGTAACTGCAGAACAAAAGCTCCGAGTTACATTCTGAGTAGGGAAGCAAGCAACTCTGAATAACTCAGAGTACTCACCAATCAATTAATAGTTGAAGTTATCTCCTAACACATTGGGTGAGTGTTATTAAATAATGGATACAAAAACAATCTTGTATTAGTCTTCTTAATACTCGTTAAAATTTTCATCGATAATGCAGGGGTTCAACTGTTGAATGAACGCATTTAATGCATAGTATTTTTTTGACTCGCCATGCAAAAGTTTTTCTGATTTATCAATAACAAACAACTTTTGTGTATATATTTATATTATAAAAAATATGAGGGGGTCGAGTTCATTATCGTTTGTAGTTAACGGTCCATTTAATTAACCTAAAACTTCTGCATATTAAATCAAAGGCTCCTGACTTCAACATAAACTTAATCTCATTCGCGTCAATGTTCATAAATTTTTTCCATATTCCGGTTTGATTAAAGATTAGAATATTATTTAAGATTAGAATATTATTTAAGATTAGAATATTATTTAAGATTAGAATATCATTTAGGATAAAAATATCATTTAGGATTAGATAATTATTTAGGATTAGGATATCATTTAAGATTACGATATCATTTAAGATTAGAATATCATTTAGGATTACAATATCATTTAAGATTAGAATATCATTTAGGACAAAAATATCATTTAGTATTAAAATATCATTTAGGATAAAAATATCATTTAGGATTAGAATAACATTTAGGATTAGGATATCATTAAAGATTACAATATCATTTAGGATAAAAATATCATTTAGGATTAGATAATTATTTAGGATTAGGATATCATTTAAGATTAGAATATTATTTAGGACAAAAATATCATTGAGATAATAGATAATTATTTAGGATTAGGATATCATTTAAGATTAGAATATCATTTGGATTTGTAAAACTGTATCATTTTACGACGCTACGATCGTACCGAGTTTTGGTAGTATAATACATGCACTCAGGAAAATAAATTGGTCTGGTTTTATTGTCCAAATAGTGACACAATTTCTGCATGTAGCACTGATACATCCTTTTGCCGGGAATTTTCACTGTTCCCTGTACCAACATTTACTGAAATTTTCAGAGTGATTGGGCACAAATTAAACCTTATTTAGTACCCCATGGATCAGTTTCTAGTTCTCCCATAAAAATAAATAAAAAGTAAAGACTTAGTGACAACTTGAGACGTGAGGGACATGGGGGACAACCCCACATCCTCAATAAACAAATAAACGAGAACAACAACAACATCCTTTTGCCGGGCAAAACTGGGTCAGGATGACCCACACAAGAGCCAGAAGTGCATCACTATTTGGACGAAGTGTCTCAAATTTTTGAGGGTAGATGCATTTCTTAAGATTTTTCGCGCGATTTTTTTAACAATAAACATAAATTATATAAATATAATAATATGATAGCTAACTTCATCATAAACTAGTTCGCTATAATTCGAGCATCAGCGTCAGATTATTGGTTAATTATGTTAATTTGAGCAGTTAATTTAATTGTTTAAATAATCTGTTGATAAGCAACTAATGCAGTGCAAAAATTATTTACGGAGTTTGTGTTAAAACGCGGGAAAATTTAACAGAAATATTTAATGCTGGTTAAACTTGGTTGCACGTTTTTGATTTGTGTTCTTCGGGATTTAACCTCGTAAACATCTTGATAATCGTTGAGAAATCTTGATAAACATTGAAAAATCTTGATAAACATTAAAAAATCTTGATAAACATTGAGAAATCTTGATAAACATTGAGAAATCTTAATAATCATTGAGAAATCTTTATAATCATTGAGAAATCTTGATAATCATTGATAATTCTTGATAATCATTGAGAAATCTTGATAAACATTAAGAAATCTTGATAATCATTGATAATTCTTGATAATCATTGAGAAATCTTGATAAACATTAAGAAATCTTAATAATCATTGAGAAATCTTGATAATCATTGAGAAATCTTGATAAACATTAAGAAATCTTAATAATCATTGAGAAATCTTGATAATCATTGAGAAATCTTGATAAACATTAAGAAATCTTAATAATCATTGAGAAATCTTGATAATCATTGAGAAATCTTGATAAACATTAAGAAATCTTAATAATCATTGAGAAATCTTTATAATCGTTGAGAAATCTTGATAAACATTAAGAAATCTTTTTAATCTTTGAGAAATCTTGATAATCATTGAGAAATCTTGATAATCATTGAGAAATCTTGATAAACATTAAGAAATCTTAATAATCATTGAGAAATCTTTATAATCGTTGAGAAATCTTGATAAACATTAAGAAATCTTTTTAATCTTTGAGAAATCTTGATAATCATTGAGAAATCTTGATAATCATTGAGAAATCTTGATAAACATTAAGAAATCTTAATAATCATTGAGAAATCTTGATAATCATTGAGAAATCTTGATAAACATTAAGAAATCTTAATAATCATTGAGAAATCTTTATAATCGTTGAGAAATCTTGATAAACATTAAGAAATCTTTTTAATCTTTGAGAAATCTTGATAATCATTGATAATTCTTGATAATCATTGAGAAATCTTGATAAACATTAAGAAATCTTAATAATCATTGAGAAATCTTAATAATCATTGAGAAATCTTGATAAACATTAAGAAATCTTAATAATCATTGAGAAATCTTTATAATCGTTGAGAAATCTTGATAAACATTAAGAAATCTTTTTAATCTTTGAGAAATCTTGATAATCATTGATAATTCTTGATAATCATTGAGAAATCTTGATAAACATTAAGAAATCTTAATAATCATTGAGAAATCTTTATAATCATTGAGAAATCTTGATAATCATTGATAATTCTTGATAATCATTGCGAAATCGGCAAATGAAGCAAAAAAATTTTAGTGAAGTTACAGTTTTGGGGGAGTAGTTCATAGTCATAGGTTCTTAGTTACACAATTTATAAAATATAGAAGTGTTTCTTCACTTCTTTTACTTCGTTTTGTTTTTGCTAGAAACTTAAAACTGGCAGATAAAAAAACAAACTATGAATCACAGAATTTATTCAGTTCATCGTTATAAATTCGTAGTAATAGAATTTCTAGATTTCATAGTAATATAATTTCTATAATTTATAGTAATAAAATTTCTAGAATTCATATTAATAGAATTTCCAGAATTCAATATAATAAAATTTTTAGAATTCATAGTAATAAAATTTCCAGAATTTATAATAATATAATTTCTAGAACTCAACTAACAACCACAGCGTTAGTAACTATCCGCGATGGTAACCGCTCTGGTATCCACCACTTTCATGACCAGACACGTGACCACCACCAGCTACCACAAATCCTCCCGACGCTGATCCACCAGAGTGATGGTAGCCCTGACTACCACCACCAACACCATGGTGGTGGTTAGGGAAACCACCGACGTGGTGGGCAACCGGCGTAGCCCAGGTTGTGGTGATGCACAAGGCTAGTAGCAGAGGCAGTAGCAGCTTCCTGTGCACCCAAAAAAATACGTGAGATTTTATCCAAATAACGATGTAGTTTTAGCTCACCTGCGGGTAAAATTGACACAGTTTTGTTCCAAAAAGGGCGTATCAATGCTAAGTGGTTAAAGTATATTAGTGGTTATAGTGTCGCTCTATATTTGTTCAATATAACCCATATTTTTCTCTGAGAGTTAGGAGTAGATATTAAAATTGTTAGTGACGATAGAGTCGTCACAGCACTAAACTCGCCACTTATCAATATAAATAATATTATAATGCTCAAATATACGATACCTAGTGCTCGAATATTAGAAATGATGGTTTTTTAATATTAATTCTTCTATGAATTAATTGTTTGTAGAATTAAAGCCTTTTGGCGAAAATAAAATTTAGTCTGTTAATATAAAATATAGAGTTCAGTGGCGACTCAAGAGGATAGGTTTCAATTATTCTTAGAAAATTAAAGCAATAAATAAAACTGAAAATAAATAAATTAATGAGACAATTATTTCCATTAGCAAGGTGGGAATATTAAAAAAAACAATAAAGAGGGTGCTAATAAAAGTATAAATTGTGAATTTAGAATATATTTAAAAAATTAGTAAGTTTGTCGCTAGTTAGTAAGCTTAAATAATAATAAGACTCTTATTATAAGCAATCCTCATGATAAAAGACATACACTCTGAAGACATAAATTGAGTTTTTATCGCATATATCACTCAGTATTATATCATAATCATTAAACCTATTAATAATCTGTAAATACTCACATGATGAGACTTGAACAAGTAGCTGGTGACGCGACTAGTGAGTGAGGCTGGTAAATAAGAAGTGAGTTACCCAGAGAATGTACCGCCTTATATACTCTGTACTCATCTTCCTGCAACTCATCAGTGTTTACAGTCCCTGACAGCTCTGATCTCTCTTGCTTCTGGGGAAATGCATGGGGAAATTTTCAGGGCAATGCATTTACCTGCAATTCTCTGTTTCAATGACGTAGTTCTTTGAACGTGTGCGAAAATATTCTAGTTCTAACGAATTTTTAGCATTTACCTGCAATTCTCTGTTTCAATGACGTAGATCTTTGAACGTCCGTGGAAATATTGTAGTTTTTATGCACCTAATCAATTTTTAGTCTTAAGGAAAAAATATGGGACTAATAATGCACTCAGACTCATTGCTTTTACCTGAAAGTGTTCATGCATTACGTAATATACGTAATAAATACACGTTAAATAATCGGAATAATTGATAATGATAATGGTTATGAGTCTAAGGTATAGTTACGATTTACGATTTTCATGATGCTCCTCAACTATAAAAGAGTCAGAGAAAAGAATTGTAGAAGCTTTACCGATGAAGTAATTCTTTTGCAGGGGAAAATGTCGACATCTTGCGTACATGCATGGACTGTTTCGTTTACAATTGAATCTTGAAACAACAACCTTCTTATTGTTTTGTGTGAAGTTGACGATACAGATTTTTTTTTCCGAAAATTCATTTCGTCGCTCTGCCCCACACAACAAATTTAATTAATGTGGGGTAATAAGTTTAGTGAACGCTACAATAAATTTAGTTAACGACACGGCAAAGTATTTGAGTGTTTTGTATCACATATTTCATGTCACGTATAAATATCGGCAGGCAGCGCTCCCAGAGGCATGTTCAATGCATGCTCCCAGAGGCATTTTATGTACTATTGTTTAAAATACGGAATATATTTCAGTAATTAAGTTAAAAAATAAATGAAAATAAGTAAAAAATGAAAATAAATAATAATTAAATTTAATAATTAGTAGTTAAATATAAAATATAATTTCAGTATTTAAATAGAATTTAACTGAATAATTAAATTAAATTATCAGACATCTTGCATTTTCATGTAGTGAGGCTATCCTTCTGCAATTAGGTCCTGAATCTATGCCGCTCTTGAATTATAGCTACAATTTTAATTAATGTTAATTGATATTCATGTTTACATTAGCGGCTAGATTATATACAAAATATATTTTATATAGTATCATCTAATCTTGGCACATATTATATTACGGGCTGATTATATTATGCCAATTTACATATAGCAGTAATGCACACACTTATAATGAACTATTTTAAACCATATTGTCGAGCTAAAAGCATCTCTGAATATATTCAAGAAGAGGTTATTGGATTCCTAATTACTATTTTTTAATATTAAATGTTTTGCTGAAAAGTTGTTTTTGAAAGCAGTTTTTGCTGTGTTGAGTTTAATTTTAATTATGAAATATGAATGCAAAATGTGTGAAAATTCACAAAATGTGTGAATGTGAAAAAATAAGTTCGTGTTTTTATGGTATTTTTGGACTTAAATATTCATGAGTTATTTCCCACATTTAGATATCTATTATTGTTGAGCTATTTACGTTACGATAACTGACGACATGAAGATGAAAAATTCGTTAAACTCTCATTAAAATGAACTCCTTCTTGTTATATAAACTGGTAAATAACTAAACTGTATATAAACCTTTTATTTTAGGTAATTATCTATACTCTTTTAAAGAAAAAAGCTAATTTTAAGTAGTTCTTCTTAGTTTAGGTAGTTATTTATACTCTTATAAGAAATATTATTATTAAAAGCCTATATATTTTTGATCAGTCAGTATTTAGTCACAGTCAGTAACAGTCATAGGCATGGTAACATTATATTATCTTACCTGTACATTTAGACCTTGTTTATGTTCTCAAAGTTGAACAAAATTCAAATGAAGCAAGTTTAATTTTTTTGACGACCATAAAATTAATTTTTGAAATTATTGTATGCCTGCACGATTTCATATAAACAAACGTTGCATTTCGTGTATTAATTACACACAAAATTTACTTCGTCTTCGAAGAACTCACAAATAAAGACTATGATGTTCATCCAGTTTCTTTTAAACATCGAATTTTCCCTAATACCCAATTCAACATTATGGAATTGAGTAATAACGTGACTGAAACATAGATATGAGAATATATATTCAGGATTACCCCTCCCGTAGATATCTGACGTTGATTAAACATTATTTCAACGAAATAAGCCCTTATTCAACGTAATTTCAACGTCAATCAACGGAGTCTATGTCATCATGAGTCAGTGACGTCACTAGAACTCACTGCACACTCCTTGGCTGGTGAGGTAAAAATCTGAAAGATTCATTTAATTATAATAATAATATTAATAATAATTAAAATGAACTCTACTTTCATTGACAGGTGAAGTGAGTCTCTATACTTATAAGAGTATTTAAAATGAACTCTACGCTCATTAGCTGGTGAGGTAAGAGTCTTAGAAGAGATTCATATGAGTATTTAAAAGGAACTCTACGCTCATTGGCTAGTGAGGTAAGAGTCTCTACACTTATAAGAGTATTTAAATGGGCACCGTAATCCTTAAGTTCTTGTTTACACCCTCCTTGTTAGCTTGTGTACACAAAACTCGCTCTCTGACGTCACCATACCGTTCACTTCACAGAACTTCGGGACCAGGAAGATTGCTTCACTATTCTTTCTGTCAGAAAATTTTTCTGTTTAAAATTGTAGACTTTTCAACGTTGGCCGATCCATGGCCATTTTAGTTCAATAAGCACTTAATTTAAACAAGGAAATGATTATGTTTGTTAATGAAGTGCAACGCGCTGAACCCCGATGACATTTTCGCTTTTTGCACAACAAATTTTATCTCGGGTCTTTACAAAGAATCGAACAATTCTTTATTTTTCGTAATTAATATTTTGAATTTTCATTCCTAATTTTACTATGTCCTACTCATCTAGACCTCATCATTCCTTATTATTTTCTCTGGTGAGGAATGTGCCACTTTCTTCAACTCAATTCCTGAGCAAATATAAATGACAGAGATAAATTACATTTGAGAGATAAATGGCATATATAAATGGCATTTATATATTTGGCAGGTATAAATGGCAGAGGTAAATTACATTAATTTTTATTATATTAATTTATATCTGCCATAAAAATGGCAGAGATAAATTAAGCCACTGACTTGCATTAAAATTATCTTAACGACTGTTCCGCAATGATTATTTTTAGACCAAATACTGAATCGCATTGTTGAATATTTCCAGCCTTCTTTGAACGGCTGAAATTTTATTTTTCTAGTCGAGTCTGGAGGCCAGCAAAAATTATTATTGTAAGCAACAATTCAATACCGTACAAATTGTTTTTTAGGCTACAATTAAACATTTCTGTATTGTGTAATAGCCTGTCTCACCAGAGCCTTACATCAAATAATGATTATAAAGTTTTTCTTTATTTTTAAATTTCTCTGTTTAATAAAATTTGGTTTTGTCTTTATTTTTAGTGAATGAAGTTCCCTCTAACTGACGAGGGTTGATTCGAAGGCTAGTTTTTTTGAGGGATTTACACGCGTGCGGAGCTCTGAAGCTTTTTACGCTGCCCTTGCCATGAAATGGTTTTGTGTTGAACGTGTAACTTTGTCTAATAATAATAATAATAATGTATAATAATAATAATAATAATAATAATAATAATAATAATAATAATAATAATAATAATAATAATAATAATAATAATAACTCGAATAGACGCTTATTACTAACAGCCTTCCCGATTACATCGTTGGCGCTCCGAGTATGAACGCGTTCAAGAACAGACTAGATAAAGCTATGGAAAAATATGTGTTCAGACTAGAAATGCCTAGCACCACATCGAACCCGGTGGAAGTCTAGTAGCTACTTGAAACTATCGTCAGTTTGGAAAAGGTCCGGTCAAATGACACGATTTTAAATCTTCTGTGAACAAGTCACGAAAAGTTCAAGAATCAGCGACAGGCCACATCAGGCCTACACTTTAGCGCCGACATCGCTATGTTAAGTTATGTTATGTTATGTTACTGTGATCTGTGCCACGTTTACCCCGAACCACTGGAACGAACGACCCGACCAAAAAGTCAATTATAAATTTATACGGCAAGCGCACAAATAATTTAAAAACAAAGAAAACTTCGTCGGAAAAGTTCCGATGTCATCCTGCGTTATTAGTTGGTTAATTTAGGCTTTAGTGGATGAATGTTCATTTTATGAAGAAAAAACAAATTTACACGAAAGAGATTAAATCCTAAGTACAAAAAACGGACCAAGGAACATAAAAAAACAAACAAAAGTTGTACTTGAATTCTTTACATTTGTAGACTCCTGATGTATGTAACTGGTCTCCGAAACGTCTCTGATGAATTCGCATGGAGTTAAATTAATTTTACATCTACACATTTTTAATTATTGGTTAGCAATTCCAGCAATGCGATAAAAACGACTGCGTTGTCTAAGGACCGACAAACTTTGTCTCAGTGTTCCGCCTGTTTCCCAAGTGAAATATAATGAGCTGGAAAGGAAGAACATTGTTCGTGGAGCCTTTACGCTTATTTTAAATGGCAAAAATATGAGCCTTCGAAGTGGATTCTAATCTGAATTTCTTGAATTGATTAAAGAATTATTCGCTTTTCAGGAAATATTTTACTAAATTTCAAAGCGGAAATAAAAATTATCATTATCACTTTAGCACCCTTATGGAATAACGGATAATAAAGTAGCGGAAAATAGATCAGTATTCATCACTTTGAGTAATTAAATAAATTATATTATTAGTTTTTCCTAATCCAATTTTGAGCAGGAAGTTTTTACTTAGTCAACCTGATGTGCTGTTATTCTTTTACATTATGATTATTAGTGCACTAGAGACGAGATATAAATTTGGGATTCCATATGCTATTAACTATAATATGTTGATTATTTAGCCGGCACAGTTCATATACGCTTGGTGTCTACACTCACAGATATGTGTGTGACTTTGTTTAAATAGCTATGCAACTTCTGCGCTTATGTGGGTCATACACACCCAGTTTGGCCCACAACAAGGGCGTATGAATGCTACCTGCTGAAAGTGTGTCTTTATTTGTACAATATTACCCGATGATTTTTCTGAGTTGAATACCGAATTGAATAAAAAGCGTAAAATGTTCCGTTATAAAAAAATATAATCAAACACAAGGATAAATCATACACAAAGTCTGTTCTCGTACATAAATCTTATAAAACATAAAAAGAAAAACATAAAAATGCACAAAGAGAAAAACGTAATAAGAAAAAGAATATAACAAACATAAAAACATAAAAAGAAAGACATAAAAAACACAAAGAGAAAAACATAAAAAGAAAAAATCTTAAAAAAAACATAAGAAGAAAGAAAAACATGAAAGAAAACACGAGCAACCGTACGAAGTATATTTTGAACCTTGCACGTGTTATAAGTTCTTGTACACTCAGAGTAATTAGTGGGACTCTATCACACTAGCGATGTACTTTTTGCCCGTATGTGGGTCATCCTGACACAGTTTGGCCACGAAAAAAACAAGTGTATCAGTGATACATTAGCTCTCTCCTCCTGCTCTGGGTAATTAAGTGTGTTTTTTACCAAATGAGCCATGAATTACTCTGAGTGATATCAACCGACTTTACTGTGTAATACCTTATGAACATATTTTTTGCAATACCTTATATATATTTTGTCTGTAAAACCTTATATTTATTGTAACGATTCTAAGCTTTAACTAACAGCGAAGTGTGATTGGGATTTACTGTTGCTGAAATTTGTGAGACAGATCGGTCCAGCAATTAATATCAATGTCTTTTAAAAAATATAAAACACATTTTATTTCATTAAACTTTTAATGAAGTTTTTACACGTCTTCAAAGTTATAATCTCTGGACATTAAATAGTTATCCACGCCCCCGTATAATTAACGTAGGTATAAAATTATCCGCTTCAATTATAAACTAACTTAGACAATGTTAGTAAAACAATATTTTTAAGACAAGAGTTAACAAAACTTGAAAACAGCATTTGAATTTCTTAACTTATTTACACTTTAAACTGCTACTCTATACTTCAAATTAACTTGATTTTTAATATAACAACGGCTACGAAACACATAGTTCGACTTATAGCCAACAGGAAGATCACAAATAAAACTCATTCTCTGGTAATCAATTAAACTTTTACATTTCAATACCATGGCGGTTTGGATTGAATTTTGGAAAATTGTTTACGGGTTGTGATGGATTTCTTCATTTTCGGAAGACTGGAGTGACGCTAGGTAGCGTCGGTCGCGGGGTGGTGGTGGTTGTGGAAGATGGAGTGGTTCTGAAGGGCGGTATGGTTCTGGATGGCGTGGTGGTTCTGAAAGTGGTGGTTTCCACCACCACCGTATCCACCACCACCACCGTATCCTCCACCTTGCCCGCCTATTTGATACCCACCTCCTCCAATATAACCTCCTTTGACCCCACCAAATCCTTCAACATTTCCTCCAGCAGATCCACCAGTTCTTCCATCGGCCTGGTTCTCTAATGAATCACACCCTCTTTGGTGGAAGCCCCCGTTGTACACCACTGGATCTCCTCTAAAAGAGGGGCCAAATCCGCCGTATCCATCAAACTTGATCTCCCTGTTTGCTCTCAAATTTATCCTCGGAAAATAATCGTCAGTTCCAAAACCGAAACCGATAGCGAAGTTAGGAAACTGTTCAGCATTCCGCACGATGCGAACGTTGTGAGTTCTTGGGAAAGATTTTTTATTGCTGTTATCTCCGACAGGTTTGTTGCTGTAGCTGTTATCTCCGTCAGGTTTGTTGCTGTAGCTGTTATCTCCGTCAGGTTTGTTGCTGTNCTCCCTCCAGGTTTATTGCTGACACTCCCTCCAGGTTTATTGCTGACACTCCCTCCAGGTTTATTGCTGACACTCCCTCCAGGTTTATTGCTGACACTCCCTCCAGGTTTATTGCTGACACTCCCTCCAGGTTTATTGCTGACACTCCCTCCAGGTTTATTGCTGACACTCCCACCAGGTTTATTGCTGACACTCCCTCCAGGTTTATTGCTGACACTCCCTCCAGGTTTATTGCTGACGGTTAAGGGGTTTATACGGAAGGGAAATTCATCTCTTTTGACTCTCGCTCTTGCATCGAAATTTAATCCAAGTTCTTGGGTTTCGCGGTTCGCAAAACCCGAGTTTGTAGGCGCCGCCTTTGCTGCCACGGCCACTATCAGCCCCAGAGCAAACGTCAGCTTCATGATAGTTGCTTTTTTAATCTGGAGGATTAATTGAAAAAAATTTGAATGAAAGTGACGTAGATTACATTTAAGAATGAACTTACTCATTGATAATCCTCAAATAAAAATCGTGTGCAGGCGAGCTAGAAAGTTAATGTACGTATACAATAATACATAGTATAGTATAGTATAGTATAGTATAGTATAGTATAGTATAGTATAGTGTAGTATAGTATTGTATAGTATAGTATAGTATAGTATAGTATAGTATAGCAAAGTATAGTATATTGTTCATTGACTTCTATTATAATCATATGCGTTTAAAAATTACTTTTTAAAGCAGCACTTTTAAAGAATCCAGTGTCTCCAATGGTACACATGTACAATGAATTTCTGATTTTATTTTCGAATATTAAAAAAATTAATTTTTCAGTTTTTTTAATATAAAAGAATAAATTTTTCAAAATTATTCAATCTTTCAATTGATTCATGGATTGTTTCCGACTTTACGCAAGTGTTCAAGATTTCAAATAGATTGGACAGGTAGAAGTGTGCTGAAAATTGATTATAAGATTTGTAGAAGACAAAATTATTTTTTAATTTTTTAAAATTGAAATTTCTTTTAATTTCTAAAATTATTTATTTTGTCAATTGATTCATGAATTGTCTCCAACTTTACGCAAGTTTGTAAAATTTCGAGTAAATTGGAGAGGTAGAAGTGTGTCAAGTATCGATTATAGGATTTTTAACAAACAAACAAACAACAAGAAGCAAAGTTAAAGAGAAGTTTTGTAATAAAAATACTGGAGATCTGATACAAAAACTGGGAAATTATGAATAAAGGTATTTCAAGTCGAAACAATCTATTTTCAATTTATAAGATTAATTTCACAACTTATGGCACGTGTAACAGTGACTGAAAATTACGCAATTTATTCATCATTAATAATTTAAATTTATTATATTGTTTCAAAAACTAATACTATATATATTTTTAATACTAATCTATTACTAATACTACCGCGAGATTGTTTCAAAAACTAACACTATATATACTACTAATACTAAACTAGTACTACTAAATAATTCAAATCTTAAAATATAATACTAACTATACTATTAATATTAATCTATTGCTAATACTACTAACTAATTCAAATCTTGAAATATAATACTATATATACTATTAATATTAATCCATTGCTAATACCACTAACTAATTCAAATCTTAAAATACAGTATAATAGTAAATATACTATTAATATTAATCCACTGCTAATACTACAAACTAATTCTAATCTTAAAAAATAATACCAAATATAGTATTTATATTAATCTATTGCTAATACTACTAACTAATTCAAATCAAATCACCGTACCTTCAATTATAAAGATTAATATCAGTTACTATAACTCGAGGGCTACGCGTGGAAGATGTCACCTCGCCAGCGCCCGCTGCACGATTGATGTTCTTGACGCGCATGCCACGCAGGTAACCTGGCTCACGTCATGACGTACGAAGCTTTTGTTGACGTGTGGATTTAGGATTTGTTTAATCTGTACACATGACAATATGGCGCCTGTGCACTCAAAGAAATATAACTCAGTACTCACTGCAGTGAGTGACAGAGAGCGCATTTTCTCGTCGACGAAAACGTGAAGTTACGGACAGACAGACGGACGGACGGACATGGCGAGCACAATAAGACATTTTTCCATAAATGAGAAAATGCGCTAAAATGAGGAAACTTTGTCCAAACATCGACGTACTTTTTGTCCTTGTGTGCGTGGGTTATCCTGACTCGGTTTGGTCCGGCTAAAGGGCGTATAATTGCTATACGTCCGATTAATGCTCGTGCTGTGAAAAAGAAAGTGTGTCACTGTTTGGAAAAATCACATCCATTTTTTTTAGTGCAGACCCGTAGCTTGTTGTGTTAAAGTTCCCAAGGAATTTAGCGGTCGCAATTTGCTTCGTGCTTTTGCCTCATGTTTGTTAGAAGCCTGCAGCCGTTCTTTAGTATAACTGCATGGCGAGAATTTTTTATTTAACTGCATGGGGATTTTTTTTATTGAACTGCATGGACAGAATTTTTTATTTAAATACATAAGAACGATTTTTTATTTACCAGCATGGACAGACTTTTTTATTTATATGCATAGGAATGATTTTTTAATTACCTGCATGGACAGAATTTTTATATATATATACATATGAATGATTTTAAATTTACCAAAATGGAGAGAATTTTATATATATATATACATGGGAATGATTTTTTATTTACCAGCATGGATAGAACTTCTTGAATTAAATACATAGGAATGATTTTTTAATTAACTGCATGGGCAGAATTTTTTTATTTATATACATAGGCATAGGAATGATTTTTTATTTATCAGCATGGACAGAACTTTTTTATTTATATACGCAGGAATGATTTTTAATTACCTGCATATACAGATTTCTTTATTTAAATACATAGGAATAATTTTTTTATTTACCAGCATGGGCAGATTTTTTCTCACTATAGGATTTGCTCTAGGAGTAGAGACGGTGAGTTGTTTGTGTTTTTTACTAGGATGAATATATTGAGTAATTTTTTAATCCAGAGAGAAACTTTTGAACACTATTCGTCGCCTGGCTGTGATATTTGTCATAGCCGAAGGTCAGATTTTATCAGTTTCGAATGCAACGGAAATACGGTGAATTTTTTCAAATTCGAAATATTTTACTAAATTTCGAGAGCATTTATATACGATGAATTTAATTTTGAGCCTCAGTATCGCAACTAAGAATAGTCCACTAGGCATCTCACGATGAATCAACGATGAATACGCGTATATGTTGAATTTACGTCTAGTAAACGTTGTTTCAACGTTATTTGATTGGAGGACCGAATTGTTGTTATTTAGCGTTATTCGTTTCATACTCGTTATTTATTCGCCCCATGCTCGTTATTTAGTCGCTTCATTATCGTTATATATTCGCTTCCTACTCGTTATTTATGCGCTTCTTACTCGTTATTTATTCGCTCCATGTTCGTTACTTATTTGCTTCATACTCGTCATTTAATCGCTTCATACTCGTTATTTATTCACTTCATACTCGTTATTTATTCACTTCACACCTGCTATTTATTCGCTTCATACTTGTTATTAATTCGCTTCATACTCATTGTTTATTCGCTTCATACTCGTTATTTATTCGCTTCTATGAGCTGAAATATATTTACTCAAAATTTAGAATTTTTTTTGTATCTTTTATAATTAAACTTATGCATTATTTTGAATCTGGCGTATATTTACCGACATGCTCAAATAACTCGATGGCCGGGAACTTCATGACGAACGTGGGTAGTTTAAATAATTACATAATTTGCCAATACAGATTTTTCAAGGGTTGAAGTTTAATATAACGTCCATTTAAAATTGGCACTCTGTGATTTATTCCTATTTCTTTGAATACATTAACCGTCTTGTTAGCCTGGCAACGAGAGTTACCTTCTATAGACAAAAGATTAACCCTTAATCTACGGATACATTACCCGTCATCAATATCATTCGTACCTAAATGCCTGGTAGCGAGAGATACCGTATCGTTCCCGAGGTACGGTTCCGAGGCCTGGTATCGAGAGATACCTTAAGTTAACCATTTTTCTAAGTAAACATTAACAATCTTTAAGTTTATTCGTACCAAAAGGCTGAACTAAAATTGGTTTAGTGACCGTCTCGAGCTTAGCATTCTTGCAAATCACCTTATACATCAGGCCGCTGGATTAACGATGGACATTCCCAGAGACTCGGTGTTTGCCTTCGCTTGTTTGAACTGCACATTCGTTCTCAGGACTGCATTGCTGCAACCTCCGGTCCTTCTCAGAACTCCTGGGACTTCGGGGAAAAGACTTTCCGACGGTTTTTCGCAGATTTCACGAGACTTCGGCGGTAATACTGGCCGACTGTCTTTCCTAGAACTCCTGGGACATCATGAAAAAGACTTTCCGACGATTTTTCGCAGATTTTCCGGGACTTCGGCGGTAATACTTGCCGACTGCCTTTCCCAGAACTTCTGGGACTTCGGGGGAAATACTTTCCGACGGTCTTTCGCAGAACTCCGGGGACTTAGGGAGAAAAATATCCCACAACTTTAAAGACTTTCGGGGTAAAAGACTTTCCCATGCAGAACTTCTTGGACTCTGGGGAAAAGACTGTCACAGAAATCTTGGGACGTCGAGGGAATTTTCGACGATCTTTCCCAGAACTCCTGTGACTTGGGGAGGAAAAGAGTTTCCGACGGTTTTTCGCAGATTTCCCGGACTTCGGGGGTAATACTACTGATATGGTAATTCTTCTTCTTCTATGGTAATTCTTAGTGCTCCTGGAATTTCAGTGGGAAAAATGTGCTAGAACTCACAGGACTTTCGGGGTAGAAGACTTTCCCACAACTCCTGGGACTTCGGGGAAAAGGACTTTTAGGAGCTTGAGATATATTTGCGTTCATTTGCTGAATGCTTCAATGTTATCCATGCATAACTAAAGTAAAACTATGATAAAAAGTCTAATGATAATATTAAGATTTCCTCTGAGAATTAAATTGAATTCTTTATTTTTCACGAAAAAAGTAATTGGAAGATATTTAAGTTTTCTCGACGAACTTGCGCTGATTTTTCAGAATGTTTTTGTGCTTCCGAAATTTAATTTGTCGAATTTATTACATTGTTTCAAAAAATCATTAGAAATGTCATCAATTTGTTCAATGAAAATTTCTAGGCCTTATAAATCGTTGAAGGCTCTCACATTTTATAGCGTTGATTTTTTCATACCTCTTCCTTCAAAATAAGGACGTTCAACCTGATGGAATTCCATCAACCTGATGTTGATGGAATTCATTAGTTAAGGAACGCCACCAAATGACATCGGCCCTAAAAAATGTCCCCTCAAATTTAGTCTCAAAATGTAAGTAAAAATAAGGAGACTCTAGCTGTGTCATGAACTACTACCATACACTCAGAAAAACAAGCAAGTCTTTGTTTACATAGCGACACACTTTCTGCCTTTTGTGTGTGTCGGGTCACCCTGGCCTAATGTGGCACGGCAAAGGGCTATCATCAGTGCTATGAGTGTGTCAATATTTAGACAATATGAAAGATTTATTTTTTAAGTCTAGAGATAAACGAAGTCCGATGGCCTAAATCAGTGGTTCCTAAACTTTTTCAGGCTGGCGCCCCCTTTGGCTCCCTAGTGAATTTCTAGCGCCCCCCACAGACACATATAATAAAATCATGCCCCTCTTTCTATAAAATTTAGTTCACTGCAATTTTGAGAGATAATGGTTAAACACAAATGTGTATTTCACAAATAGGACCCCTTTTAGTGAACCAATGTGTTTTTCAGCTGTTTTAACTGTTTCAGCACTAGAAACCTAGGATGTCTCAGGCAAATTTACGGCCGGACTCGTGGCCAGTCTCACGACCAATCTCCAAATTCAATTATCAAGGAATATCACCCAAACTAATTAACGCAGCTCAATAAAACTTGGAACATGTATTCATCAGAACTTAACGGTGACGTTTAGCTTGCGAAAATTTTTAAAATATCACCTTCATTCGTGAGTTATATTGCGATACAGGCCGAAATTCGCAGTGATCAAAGAATTTCTTCCAAACTACCAAACAGATTTGAACGAAGTTTGAATATACATTCCTATCTACCAAATGGGATTTTTAAGATTAAAAAATTTTTTGATTTTACCGTCGTTTGCGAGAGTTTTTTTTTTTCATTTTACCGTCATTCTTGATTTCACACTTCCTTATTCGCTTTCGTTCGCAAGTTATACAGATATAGGAGGAACGACCGGCTTTTCTACCGGCTGGTTTAACCAAGAGCCGTTTACGTATAGCCGTATAACTCACAAACGAAGGCAAAACGAAAAAATTGTAACGAACTAAACATCACCGTAGCTGAGGTTAGGTATTAAATAACTAAATTTCGTTCAAATCTGTTCAGTAGTTTGCAAGAAATTTCTTGATTACTGCGAATTTAAGCACGCATTGCAGTTTAAATCACGAATGAAACTCGCGAACGAAGACCGATTCGACACTTCAGCGAACTCGCCTGCGAGCTCGAATGCAAAACCTAACTTCATTTTCAACTGTGGCACTCATAACTCCTTCAATTATTTGAATAAAATCCGTTCATAATTGAAGGAGTTATGAGTGCCACAGTTGAAAATGAAGTTAGGTTTTCCGTATTAACAAAAAAGTTATTGATGTAAAAATCTGAAAAATTCCCCCCGCAAAATACTGATATTATCTACTTATATTTCAAATTTGAATAAAATCCGTTCATAATTGAAGGATGATCTGGGTGAAAAAACCATCGCTGGGAGTCATGCATGTGCTGCACGTGTTGTGTACAAATCGTCAACAAACGTTCGAACTTCTGACTTCGACTTCGGACTGCCGCCCCCCTATCGCCTCCCTATCACCCTCTTCTTCCTTACCGCCCCCCAAAATCTTTCCATCGCCCCTAGGGGGGCGATATCGCCCACTTTGGGAACCAGTGGCCTAAATAATCAAAAAGTAGGTTCAGTGTTTAAAGTTCCTATAGTACCGTGGCAGGAGCAGTGAGTTGCGGGTTTGATCCCAGCTCATGCGATAGATCTGGTCGAAATCGGCAAGGTGGCCTAGTGGTTCAAAAGAGCAAAATTAGGTCTGTGAGTTGCGGGTTCGAGATCACAGCAAGCTGTAAGAATTACGCGGTGTCCTGAATCGGATACGGGCCAGAATACTATTACTATTAAAATGGCACAAATTTCATCTAAAAGAGATATGAACAAGATTATGATCACTGCATGAATAATTAACAGAGTCAACGGCACCTGGAAAAACGACACCTAAAAGAGAAAGAAAGATTATAGTGTAAGTTGAATGCTTTACATGCACTGTACGAGTTCAAGTTTGAGCTAGATTTGCTTCAACTCTGAACTATTAGCGATGGCTGATTCTAGATCATTTGCATACGGTGCTTTTACACGGGGTCTGTAGTGGCGGTCAGTACAACTTTCCAACACTAACCGCCACTACGTATCGCGCTACTGCTGGCCTTGTGAAAAGTGTTACTGGCTCCTTAAGTGGCCAGTAGCGCCTGCCTCTACACGTGGCCAGTAGCTTGGTGTGTAGTCGCGGCTTGGTGTGTAGTAGAATGTTTTACTGGCCGTCATTACTATCCCCGCGTAAACTATTTATAGTGAAGACAATTTCAGTTACGGTAGAGGTAAACATCTGAATTGTGGCAATGACATTGGAGCACGATGTGATTGTAAATATAATATTCACAATTGAATGATAATGATAAGCTGATATGGTAAATGACGTATATTGGAGAAAACAAAAACATTTTATACATGGTTTCTTAAAATAGCAAAGCTGTAATTAATAAATTTGTTCATCTTACTAAACTATAATACACTTTCTACCTGCTCGCATCATGCATTCATGACCACGTGAAAACAACCAAAATAATTATTCTACAATCGATGGTCACGTTTGAGATGTTTTAACGATGAATTAATAATTGAGAACAGACATTGTACGTCAAACTGTCACTCCGTTTGAACTTTATTGTGGAACGCTGCTAATTTATACATTAATGTTCTCTATTATAAATTACTACCTACATGGATTATATGTACGTAATATATGAGAATTAGAGAGCATCTTTTTTGTATTAAATTCCTAAACGATTGAAGGATAGAACGTATCCATTTGAGAATCTACTTCATTAAAAGAAGAAACATTTTGTAATGAAACTTCAGTATCAGCCTTTCTCGCATTTTATAACAAGAACTCGAGGCAGAAAGTGAAATATATAAATCATGAGATGATTGTAAAAGTTATTCTTGAATATTATTTCGGCCTAACACTGATAAGCGAACAGTTTTCAGCTACGATTTTTCATTGGTATTCGCGGCATCGCAAATCCAGCATCCAATCAGGGTTTGAGTTTGAACAGCCAACTGAAGACGTACGACCAAAAGCCATTCATCAACAGCCTTCGATCAACAGCCGTCGATCAACAGCCTTCGATCTACTCATCAGCCTTCGATCTACAGCCTTTGATCAACAGCCGTCAATCAACAGCCTTCGGTCAACAGCCTTCGATCAACAGCCTTCGATCAACAGCCTTCGATCAACAGCCTTCGATCAACAGCCTTCGATCAACAGCCTTCGATCAACAGCCTTCGATCAACAGCCTTCGATCAACAGCCTTCGATTAACAGCCTTCGATCAACAGCCTCAACAGCCTTCGATCAACAGCCTTCGATCAACAGCCTTCGATCAACAGCCTTCGATCAACAGCCTTCGATCAACAGCCTTCGATTAACAGCCTTTGATCAACAGCCTTCGATCAACAGCCTTCGATCAACAGCCTTCGATTAACAGCCTTCGATCAACAGCCTTTGATCAACAGCCTCGATCAACAGCCTTCGATCAACAGTCTTTGATCAACAGCCTTCGATCAACAACCAAACGATCAGATTGAGCAATAGTTTCTTTGAGGACGTTTCAAGTAAAAGAAAATTTCATTTTACTTTGATGTGATGGTGAATTTAGGTCTCTTGCGTTTATTCTCCAATAACTAAAAACCAATTTGAACACACATTTGCACAAATGTTCACACATATTTGCAAAACTCCTTGCAATTAAATTCCTCATTAGTGGTCAATCCAATCAGTACGTACCGAGTTACGATATTTTTAAGAAAGGCAGCAGCAGGTGCGTTTCCAGCAGACGTTTTCATTAGACGTTTCATCAGATGTTTCATCAGACGTTTCATCAGACGTATTCATCAGATGCTTCATCAGACGTATTCATCAGATGCTTCATCAGACGTTTTCATCAGATGCTTTCATCAGAAGTTTTCATCAGACGTTTTCATCAGACGTTTCACCAGACGTTTCATCAGACGTATTCATCAATGTTTCATCATACGTTTTCATCAGATGCTTTCATCAGACGTTTCATCAGAAGTTTTCATCAGACGTTTTCATCAGACGTTTCATCAGACGTTTCATCAGAGGAGCTTTTCAGTTTCAGTAATTATGCTGAACTTTGATCATTGTACATCGCTGGCGTCTAATTACCAACTGAAGTTTCGCGAAACCTAGCGTAAAAATTGAAAATGATTCAAAGGAGTTATCATTGCCTTTTAAGTTGATAATTAGATAACAATTCTATATAGAAGTGTACCGCTGAACGCGACAAAGATGAGCTGAATTTAATTTTTAACCACCATGACTGCTTAGTTGCATTTTGTATGACCAATTATCAGTAATTGGGTCCAAATATAAACAATTATGTCCATCAGTATTTCGTCTGATGTCCTAAACTTGAATCATTTTATCAACACGTCGTGCTTAACAAACTCTTAATCCTTTGCTGAATTTACGTCATTTTAGGCAGCATCGCTAGTCATTTATTTTATTAGGTATTTATTTATGATTTATTAGGTAGCATCGCTAAATATCATCCAAAATTATGTAAAAATTGTTAAATAAAATGCAACTTGTAATTTGCAAGAGAGCAGTACTTAGTATTTATTTGTTCATCAACAGAGATGAATCCACCTACGTTTCCATTCTTCATTAAGTAATTGAATAATAGACTGAACACAATTCACTATTGAATTAAATTATCAACTCTTGAATTAATTATTGAATTGAAACCAAATAATCGCTCATTTCAACAATAGTCAATGAGATCTTTTTGAAGCAAGGAAACAAATTCACCAATTGCAAAGGCAAAATGCATCAAGATTTTCTGATAAAAGAAAACTAAAAAAATATAAAAACTATAGTATAATAATAATGCTGCCTTGTTGCTGCTAAAAATGTCGTATAGTAACGAGAGATCAGGTGCATTTTCAGTAAATAAATTCTTCATAGCTTTAAGCTATCTAAAATTTAGAAAGCATGCCAAAGGAATGGCTGAAAAACTATTCAGATTTGAAAATAGTTTAAAATTTGTTAATGAACTAAAAATAAATTATTGAAAGTCAGCGATCGCTCTTTAGTGTTCTGTGAGACTTCGCATATTCAATCAAGGCCTTACACTCAAATAACTGAAAATAAAGTCAAAAGCGAGACTCGCTTGAAAACTCAGCCTTGTTAGTGTCAGCACTTCAACTCAAGCATTGAAGGCGTTAGCAACACTTCAACCCAAGCCTTGTTAGTGTCAGCACTTCAACCCAAACATTGCTGGCATCGGCACTTCAATCCAAACATTGCTGGCGTCAGAATTTCAACCCAAACATCGCTGGCATCAGCACTTCAACCCAAGCTTTACTGGCGTCAGCACTTCAACCCAAACATTGCTGACGTCAGCACTTCAACCCAAACATTGCTGGCGTCAGCACTTCAACCCAAACATTGCTGATGTCAGCACTTCAACCCGAACATTTGCTGGCGTCAGCAACATTTCAAACCAAGCCTGGCTCGCGTCAGCACTTCAACCCAAACATTACTGGCGTTAGCACTTCAACCCAAGCCTGGCTCGAGTCAGTACTTCAACCCACTACAAATGGTACAACAAAGATTCAAATGGCTTCCTAAGACAAATATAAATGGCAAGAAGTAATTATATGGGCACTCAAGATACCTGCTGCTGTGATATCGTTATCATTATAATTAGTCCTTAATTAATAATAATGTACAGCGTGTCAGAGTTCTTCAGTTAAAGTTATGAGCAAATTGACGAACGAAAACATTTTTGTGGATTAAAATAAGCTTATGACACTGCTACCTGCTATGTACATAACGCATTAGGATCATATAACAACAACTATTACTGAATCGGTATCAACAATCATTACTGAATCTGTTTCAATCATTACTACTGAATCGGTATCAACAGTTACTACTGAATCGGTATCGGCAACTGTTACTGAATCTGTATTAGCAATTATTACTGAATCGGTATCAGCAATTATTACTGAATCGGTATCGGCAACCATTACTGAATTTGTAACAGAATAACCAACATAAATGAGAGCCTCGTAGCAATTAGAGGACATTGGTAGCTTAATTAACATTAGTGAGTATAGAAGTCGCTTATTTTATATCCAAACCCTTAAATTAGTTTTGATATTCGGCATCGTGGTTAACGAAAAAAATTCTATGTTCATGTAATTTTCCAGGCAAAGTTAAAAAATTAAAAAAGTTTTGTTTTACAGCTGATATCTTCGAACGAATTTTGCACAAAATCATAGTTAAGATGTCAAGTCGATAATTATATTAAATAAATTTTAATTTTCAAGGCTGCATGGCAAAATACAAAAACGTAAGTATACGGAACTTATATTATAAAATGATATATTACGAGAAAAACTTTATATCGAATGAGAGAAATGAGAATCCAGGTAAATTGGTATCTTACGCCCTAGAATTGCCAATTTAATCACAACGTAGTTCATTTATGTACAAAACTCATTCAGTTACAAGCAAAAAGCGTTCATGTTCAGCGATGTTCAGGTAAAAATGTTATCCGAAATAGGATTCCTGAAATAATAAGGAAATTTCTGTACAAACTAAATGAAATAAAATGGCAACAAAGGCAACCGCTACGCCATTTACAATGACGTCGCAAATATTTTTGGAGAAGGAAAATTTGAATCTAATGAAAAATAATCCGTGAGGATCGAACTTACAAAATAAAGAGAAAGTGTTGGGGTTGCGTAAGCACTTCGGTAAATTGATATTTACAGGCACACAATCTGAAAGTTTTCGTCTACTTGGGAATTCGTCCTGAGCGTCTCAAAAATTTTTTCTGGAATTTAAACAAAATAATCTTTATTAACCAGGAGCCGTACTATCAAAAAAATCACTTAATTACATGTAGATGCCAATTTCTTATCTGTGATTGATAGGTTTAGTCTGAAAAGCTGTTGGTGATTAGCGGGAAGAGTTACGAATATTTAAATGTTTGTGATAGTGCGAGGCCGTTTCATTGAGCCAAGTTTTTTTAGACAGAGAATATCAAAAAGCTAAATATTAAGACTTTATCAAAGCAACACGACGCGTATAACTAGGATAATGCCGCTCATTTTCCATATCAAATATCTCAGATAACAGATAAAATATCGTGAATAAAAGTTATGTTGGTAAAAGGCAGGATATATTACCACCTGCTGAATGTTAAAAGCTAGGAACCAGCCTAAGCTGCCTTAAAAATTTATAAATGGCAATAAGATATCAGCCAATATCTCTGCCGAATGATATAAATAATCTGAAGATATCACTAGATATCACTTATGTGCTAGAGCGAGCTTTATCATCGGTTTTGTTATTTTATTATCGATTTCTTTATGAAACTTGAGTCCTTCACTTGGTAAAAGTTTAAAATAAAAAGTATATGCGAATCTTGTCGGAGATCACCACATTTCTTAAGTTAGAACACTTAGAGAAAAATATCTTAACATAACAAATCAACGGGCAATTCTGAGTGTTTCAACATGAAACAACAGAATTAATTGGCACGCTTTATTTAAGATTACTTCGGCTAATTTTCATCTTAATGCTTCAATACTTAAAACTGCGTAAAACATTTTTCATTAAGATCGTATGTACAAAGAACCGGCATGTAACTTTACTTGCCTATATGCTAATATCTGTTCTATTCAGCACTCGTAAATTTTAAAATTATTCTACCAATTATAATTATTTAAAACCTGAATCCATCCCTCTGCTTAGTTTAACTTTTTTCAATTCTTATTTTACATGGAGTTACACCGCTGGCATTACTGTACAAACTCGTTAGCAAGGCACACTACTTTCTGCCGCGTTGAATTTTGATGAAAGAATGTGACCATAGTCTGCATATTGATGTCTGTAGTATTTAATTTAAACTGTTTCGGGCTTCATCTTTCTTTTTCATCAATAAATCATTTTTTCGGAAGGAGGTTAGTTTCGTATACTCCGTCAATCACTGCGTCAATCGAGTTAAACTTTGCATGATTCAATTGTTTTTGCCATCGTATTCGAGAGAAGTGTTCGGTCACTGCATTTCTCTCATAGCTTTTCTGTCCTCCTCGACCATGATGACCTCGTACTTGTGGGTGGTCACTGCATTTCTCTCTTAGCTTTTCTGTCCTCCTCGACCATGATGACCTCGTACTTGTCTGTGTCGTGTCTCGCGATCTCTACGACGAAGACAGCTTCGTTGTTGTACAGCCTGATGCTGTCGTCCTCGAGACGCACGCGTATCCTGAAAAATAAAATGTATTAATCGTCGTAAATTGAAAAATATTGAAAAGTGAACTGACAAGCTCAAACGAATAAAATACATTTTATAAGCGAATAAAATTACTTCATTGAATAAGAGTTATTACTTACGTCAAACCCAATGAGAATATAGTTTGGGTGAAGCTTATTACTGCTACCAGAGAAAAAACTCAATTTGTAAAATTATTTACTGAAAAATTCCATTGTCGACAACGGAGTGAAGTGGAATTTTGTAAGGAAATACGATACTGGGAATTTGAGAGTGACATAAAATGTAGTAATGATGCAAATTTTAGTTCTAAAAATAGCAGAATCCAAGAGGCAAGTATCCAAGAATTTGATTGCGTCTGACCAAATAACCTTTATTGAAAAATATAGGCTCGAAATAATACGACCAAATTTATGCAAATGAAACAATTAGAATTTATTACTTTTAAAAATAATTCCTATTAAAATATAATGTAGCTGCCGTAAAACGCATGTTGGATACATTATCAAAGGTTCTACACGAATTGCCATGTTCTAAAGTTCAAATAAAATTATTTAAAAAAATAAATTAGTCTATAGTAGAGATGTATTATCTTGTTATCTTGTGTTATTGCTATTGTGTGAAAAGAAGGCTTGAAACTCTGTGGTTTATTATTTTGATAGCAAATTACATTTTAAATTAAATATAAAAGAATGGGCACTTGCAAAAAAATAAGCGGAAATTCAGAAAGTTACGAGATTTTGGAAAAAAATTCTATCAGTCGTGCAGAAATTTTGAAATTATGACCAACTTGAGGGGCAGTTTAGCGGCATAATAGAAGCTCTGGCATATAAACCTAGCATTGCAGAACATGACCTTAATCTTTCGATTTTTTATATTGATTATGTGGATTAAGTAGTAGATTATTACGTAGATTAAAAATAAATGACGATTTTTGGTTTCTCACCCATCAACCGTTTTCTTGATGAGGCTGTAGATGGAGTTTGCTGGGATTTCGTACATTTGTTGGAGCTGCAGAAAAAAACTCAAATTAAACATTTTTAGTCCATATTGAAGTCTTATAGATCCCTTCATCGTTTATTTGTAAAAATCTAGAGAAAATGTATGAGTAAAAGTAAATTATAAGATTATCTAAAATGCATTCATTCAAAAAGTTGTTAAATTTATACTAATTTTTTATTTAACAGCGAAAAAATGGTAAGAAATTTTGCTATGAATCAAATTATGTAATATCTTGAATTTATTTTCATTTCACTTACTAACAGCGCTGAGAAGACCACACGATTTGGGGGCATTTGAACTACATTCATTCACGATTTAATAGCAATAAAGTTATAAGAAAATCTAAACTTCATTCATTCATAAAATGTCCCCATTCTAGAAGCATAAAACAGGCAGCACTGAATAAAAAATTTTCGCCATTTTTGAAAGATTATACTCACAGCATTAAGCAGACCACTGGTGTTGGGGGAGGGTGAATATTCAATTCAACTATAAAATAAGATAATGTTGTCCCCATTTTCATATTTTATACTCACAACATTAAGCAGGCCACTGGTATTCAGTAGAGGGTTAGTATTCAAGCTACATTCATCCATAAAATAAGTTAATTCTATCCCCAATTTCTTCTTTTATACTCACAGCATTAAGCAGACCACTTCTATTGAGTAGAGGGTGAGTATTCAAAATACATGAACCCATAAAATAAGTTAATTTTGTCCAAATTTTCTCATTTTATACTCACAGCATTAAGCAGACCACTGGTATTAGGGGGCACTATATGCAGGGGAGTGTAGACCCCTTCATTAGGTCTCCTCACGTAGACCATGACTCGTTCACTGCGGGGCGGGTAGAGGCGGGACCGCTTGCTGAGGTGCGACGGGAACATGTCTTCCACAGGACTGGCCGGGTTCACCACTGCGCCGTTCATGCTCTTTAGTTCACTGCAAATGATGAGTGTCATGAGAAAGCTGGAATATAATTCCCATGATATAACTATAACTTAACTAAAGTGGAATATAAGGGTGAGTTTGATGCTTTTTATGCCACTGTAAACGGCGAGTATGAAGAAAATACTTGGATGAATCTTTATGCGATTCTTGGGAACTGCAGTAAAAATTTTCGCTGTAATTAGGTTACGGAGCAACCCATTCTCTTGGTTGCATTCCCCAGAGCTGATGAAACAGGTTGAAAAATGCGCGAGTCATATAACAATTGAATAAGTTAATTGATCAAAATGATCGGTACAATCGCAGAATGTAGCATGCAAGTGCACAGTAGGTGCTAAATCAGGGTGTATGTTGACTTATTATAATAGACGGTTTTTAAAATCGGGAAATAAAAAATGTATATCTTGATATAAATTAATAAGAAAATAAATAGCTGGTTTGCAGTAACTAAAGTTTTTTATTTATAAGAAGGACTTTCAAGCTACAAATATCAAATATGTATTCTGCTTGTGGATTAAATGATTATACAATAATCGCAAAATCGATAATTTATCGAAATATCCGTAATAGGCTGATGAACATGCAACAATGTACTCTTTGGGAAAATTAGCAAAATCTTACTATTTCAAGGCTTGTCTATAACAAAGTCGATACTACAGTTTTGAATTTAATCAGGCAGTCAAAATCAAAAACATTAATTTACAGTTATCATAGAACTTACGGTTTACAGAGACCGATTTCTGTAAGTAGTTTACATAGCTACACTGAGGGAAATGTATGGGTATACACCCTATACTGTCTAAATAGTGACGCACTTTCTTACCCACAGCACGAGCAGAGAGTGAACGTATCACTGATACGCACTCTGGCAGGGCCAAAGTGGGCCAGGGCCTATACTTTAAAAAAAAGTTAAGAGATCATCATCATCATCAGTTCATCAGCCAATCATTGACGGCCTTTCAAGCAAAATCCACCAATCATGGACAAGAAAATAGAGCGTAAGTACTTACGTTCACTTAGCGAGTTTTGAAAGTATGGCCCCAGGATGACACATACGATAAAAAAGTGCATCGATATATGGACAAATTTACACTCATTTCTCTGGGTGTGGCATATAGCCTTGACGCGAGGCGTGCCGTCTCAATTGGCGGGTTATTTTAATTATTTTAAAATTTATATCAAAATCAGGCTGCGAAGACAATCAAAAACAGAAGAAAGAAGAGGGAAATGGGAAAGCAATGAAGGAAGAAAATTAAAGTCAATGCACACTTGCACAGGAACCAAAAAATTTCCTAATGATAAAAGATAAATTAATTATTTGATGGGACACTGGTGAAATTTTGGCGAAAAGGCAAAATTTTAATGATACAACACTATTCATATTTGAGGTTGATCCACCATTGACACTTTTATTGCAAGCTATATTCGCTTAAGAACTGGTTAAGAAATCCAGAGACAAATATTTGTCTGAAGCATTTGCTTCGGTCCAAAAGATTCAAACCGGCAGAAGAAAAATGAGATTTTGAATCTTAGCTCGCACGTAAATGTCATTTATACAATACTTCTCAACCATACAAACGTCGACTTGTGCTCAGTAGCTGCGGAACTGTCGAATATTCAAGTTTCAGTTGATGCCACAAGCCTGATTCCGGGACCTTGTTCCGAAATTACGGGGAAAATCGGAACCTTTGTCTTGAAGGAATTCGCTTTCTCATTATCAAATAGTTTGTTAAAGTCCCTGCGATGAATCTGGTCCTGCCTAGTTTGTAGGATTTTTTAGTTTTGCTCGATGTTTCCAGTCTCACCAGTTGTCTTCGACGCAGGCATCAGATTTCGTAGAACGTGAGATTTAAACATTTTTCGTTCAAGTCTCTGTGATGAAGTTGGTCATGCCTGGATGTTACTCATGCCTGGTAAAATGTTGTATGTCTGTTTTGAGGTCTAGTTCGGAAAATATTTCGAGTTTAGGTGGTCTGCAGTCTTACCAGTTGACAGGACTGCCGATGGCTTTGATGAAGACAGCTGGTGAGGGAGACCCTGAGACCGCATGAGCGGTAGTGACCATGCCATTGCAGGCAAGACTGGAATTGTCAGGTCGGTGGGACTGGTAAGAACCGCGCAACGTGGTCCGGTCTAGCGGAGAATTGGGAGCCCGCGGTGATAATGTCGAGGATTCAAGTTTTGATTGATGGTTGTTAGAAATTATGGTTTGGTTTAGGAGAGGAGATTGCGGCTGCGAATACATATGTTGGCCGTCTAAAGGACTACCGTGATTGGATGACAATAAGTGAGCGTGACCGATATTGGATGAGATTATAGTGGATGTCGAACACGTCGGGGTTGGCGATGAGGTTGAAAACAATAGAAGAGTGGATGACGATGAAGGTGGAGAGCTACGAGAGAGATTAACATTATTCAAAGATGCATGATTAGTGACAGACGTTAGGGATAGCGGATGTGGAGAAGGGGAAATGCTATGGGCTGGTAGGGAGATGATGTGTTGGGCGTGGGGAGATAAGGATGTTGGGGAAGAAGATGTTGGGGCTGTGGGGATTTCCATCGATCCAGCACCGCATGAACTGAAGGAGAGAATATAAAAATTGGTGGGCCATTGATGATCATTTCAATTGTTATTATGACTCAATGGATCTCTCGTAACTAATCACTTGAAAACGGGATAACAAGTCTGACAAATCTATTTATTCTCTCCATATGCGGTCAAAATAATGGGAAAACAAACTTAATTCGGACATATTTCTTGCTATAAATAGAACTTTGATTTCGCATATTTTTGTCCAAGATTTCGAACGCGAAATTTCTTGCAAATACCAGGCTTGAGGATAATTTGCTAGTAAATTCTTCTCATTACTAAATCTTCTCCTGTTGTAAATGTGCAATATTACAGTCAGTCGTTAAACCTGTTAATGAGTGAGCGTCACAATAATGTGGTCAAGGGATACGAAAATGTAACAGAATAAAAGCATTAAAAAGAATATCAAGATCAATATCATAAAGCACGTTACAGTGAAGTAACAATTCAATAATTCATAAAGTACGTAGTTATTGATCAGTACAGCACAATATTAAAACATACATCAATTGTTGTACGTAACACTATAAGCGGACGACATGCAAATGCAATCAAACGTAAAACTGTATACTAATGAACTTGTATGCGGGAAAACTTTGGTCTCATCATTAAAGTTAAATTATTTTTTTTTTGTCCAGTAAATCATTTCATAGTCCATGCAGTTTGTTTCATTCAACATTAAAATCTTTCCAGTTTCGCTTAATTAGAGAAACGTAATTAATATATAGTTATATTTAATATAAATAATTAATAATTAGTTAATTATCGGAAGACACGAGAGATGCACCTGAACGAAGAGAGGGAACAGCGAATAGTAACAGAGGGAAATAAAAAAGGGAAAGATGAACATGTGAGGGAAGATATGAATATGAAAGTAAAATAGGAACAAATAAGGAGTATGAACATTTTAGATAAAGATAGCAATGTGAGGGAAGATATCAATATGAAGTAAAAATCGAACAAATAAGGAGTATGAAAATGTTAGATAAGGATAGCAATGTGAGGGAAGATATCAATATGAAGTAAAAATCGAACAAATAAGGAGTATGAAAATGTTAGATAAAGATAGCAATGTGAGGGAAGATGACAATATGAAAGGAAAATAGGAACAAATAAGGAATATGAAAATGTTAGATAGAGATAGCAATATGAAGGAAGATAACAGTATGAAAGGAAAATAGGAACAAATAAGGAAGATGAAAATGTCAGATAAAGATAAAAATATGAGGGAAGATAATAATATGAGGTTGAAATATAAATAAAAATTTGAACTCATGAGAAATTTCTTCCGGGATTTCTGTGGCACTCTTTTTTTACTATTTTTACTGAAGAATTACATATTCAAAAATGAATGAAGAAAAGATCGGTGCAGAAATGTAGAAATTTATAAAAAACATTAATTCAGGAATTCAAGAAACATGAGGTTTTCTTTCCAAGAATAAATAGACACAGATACTTTCAGACCATGCGATGTATCTTCTTTAAGAACCGAATATTTCTATTTTCGAACGTCATTTTTTGAAACATGCGTTCAAGCTATCAATTAGCTGAATAACACGGTCTTGTGTATTGCAATTATGATGTATAATAAATCAGAGAATATCTGGGAAGAAAATATGTTTATTTATCGAAGAACTGAAATAAACTGATATTTGAAAAGACTATAGAAAAGAAAATAAGTTGATGCACTGGGATCGACTGAAGAACCTTGCATGCGATAGGCGAAAAATTACTTTAATTTTATTGCCTCGGAAATCAATGTGTTTCAAGGGCGTTCAGGAAGAATAGATATATGCAAAACACATTAAAATTACAAGAAATTAATTCCTTGAAAATTTAAATAATTTTTGAGAATTTGAACTTACCCATTTTCGGTGTCATGGCTGTAAAAGCAGGTCTGCGTGTCCATGTTCATGTAGGGAGTCTGTAAATTAAAGTTATTTATAAGGTTTATCTAGCATAATACGCATAATAAGTATTAAGTTGATATTAAATTTATTGATTTTTATAATTTAATTACACTACTTGCAAATTTTACCAAGCTATATTTATAATCAACAACAAAAGTCGAGTGTTTCTAGACTAACTATCCCGAATTAATATTTAATTCTAGTGACGGATAAGAAATTTTCAGGTTGTTCGAAGGATTGGAGTAGTTGAATTAAAATAATTAAAGAATTATTTGAATTTCATTCGAATTGATAATCTAAATTGAATATGTGTCTTAGAACAAGGTTAAGGATATGAAGAAGTTTAAAATAAAAAATGAACAAACCAAGAATTTAAAGATTATAATTGTTATATAAAGATTATTTAGTAGAAAATCATAGACCCGAAACGCAAAAAGTTACAACCCAAAATTTGAAAAAGTAATAAAACCTGAATTCGATCTTTAAATTCATATGCCTCAATGCGGAATGTAAGAATTAATTCCATGCCTTAAATTCATGTAATTAATTCTTATATTAATCTCACGTCTTCGCTGGGGTGAAATAGCACCGTTTCCTTGTGCAGATCAGCCATGCTGTAAAACTCGGATCTGTCGCACTGCGGATGGTACAAATCCTCGTATTTTTTGCGGGACGTCTGCGTCATCCGCCTTTTCTGTGCACGTCTTTCTTCGTCGCGAGTTTTGCGTTCCGCGCCCTGGAAATTATGGAAAAAAACTTGAGGAAGTGGAAGCGAAAATTGAAAAATAAACGATATAACGTTTAATTAATCACATAATTTTCATAAAAAACGACGTAAAGTTCATTTAACTACCTAATTTTCCCTTCTGCACCCTAAAATTAATGGACAAAACTTGAGAATCTGGAAGTGAAAATTATTAGAAGAGTTTAAGTTCCATTCAGAAAATGATAGTCTGCTCCAATGAATGTATTTATTCGAACACAAATAATTTAGCTATGAAATTAAAATTTCTTTCAAATTTTGAAGAAAGTATGGAATAATTTTTAATTCCTTAAATTGAATTATTAATTATTGAAATATTCAGGATGCGATAATCATTATTTCGATTATATTCACTTACGAGTATGTGTTATTTCGTGAAACTTTTGTTTTTCCAGCAGTAAACCCACCTTATCACAGAAGACCTTGATCTGGCAGTAAGCTCTGTGGAAGACTGGGTATCCAGTTTCCCTAGGGTCGTCGTAAGTATCAATTTGTATGTGCAGCGGTAATCCCTTAACGCCTTTTTGGCTGCTGAAGTCTGTACTCAGGCACTGGATCGCCACGTTAATCTGGAAAAAAACAACATGCAAATACTTTTATTTCATTAACATAGTATCGTCATTGCATCATCCTTGAATCATCATAGCATCGTAAACCATGCACACCTTCATAGTATTGGCATAATATCATCTTAGGATGGTGATCGAATCGAACAAAATGACTAGATCACTTTAGCATTTAGAAACGATTAATAAATAATCAAGTACGGATGTCGATCATCGCTAATAAAATTCGGACGTTGATTATCGCAAATAAAATACGAAAGTTGTTGATCATTTATCCTAGAGTAATATATCGTATTGTATCGTATTGCATTGTGTGTTTTTGTCCACATATGACATGTTATCATTTTATCCTGAAAGCTATTTATGATGAATGCTGGTGAGGGATTCAAGATGCTTTTACTATTACGATCGTAGTTGAGAAATTAGTACGTACGATTAGTTGTGTTGAGAGAAATTTTAGGTTCTAAGCTTTCAACTATGAATGCTGATCGTTGTCATTCGACGAAAAAACGATGTTGCACATTTTACGAGCTCGTTATATTGTGCCAAAATGTGACGAATTCAAGATTTGGTTAAGATCGACAAAAGTTCTATTTCGTAAACTTTCTATTAAAATTTGTTACGTTTTTGTTTTTAATTTTTTTTAATGAAATCGAACATCGATTTCTGGTACTTGTAATGTGTTTACGTTTATATCGACTGTTTCTTTGTGTTAGAAGAATGTACAAATATTTGTAATTTCGTGTTCATTTTGTAAATATTCTTATACATTTTTTATTTATAATGTTCGCTGTAGTTTCCCTATATTTTACATGCTTTTAAAAATTTTTGGTTGTTCTTAGTAATCAATGTCAGATTTTATTTTTCATGGCATTGAGAAACATGAAGATACTTTTCTCCCTCAATCGAGATTTTTTTTTCATACGACCTTATCCGTTGCGATCTTAAAATTATATACGGCCTCTTCCCATCTTAAATTCTACTTCGGAAAATCCGACACTTTGTAAAAACACAAGCAACACCGCCTCCCTGCCGGACATTGACTGATAACGACTGAATAAATTAACAAGAAATTGCAAGTTTCTTCTAAAATCTTGGCAGCCGCGATGTTTTTGATCGCCATGAAGGCTTCAACCACGTCCACCATAGCAGCTTGGGTTACATGAATAATGAGCAGTTGAATTGTAATACATTTATAAATAAAGTATATAATTTAGAATGAATAAGGAGCGGTGTAATTGTAATACATTTATAAATAAAGTATATAATTTAGAATTATAAATATATTATTACTTACAATAATTAATAAATATTTATTAAGGTGAGATATTAGTTTAAAAAGCTAGTTATTCAAAAAATAATTAACTAATACTCAACTAGTATACTAAGGGTCAAATAAAAATTTAACTAATAATGGTAAAAAGTGTAAAATAGTAATTTATTCGATTATGAAAAGCAGTTAGCTAGTAAATAAGTAAAATGGTGCAATAATAAAGAAGTTGTCTTTGATTCTACCACCGGCGCATACCGAATAAAAAACAATCGTCTGCTGGAAGATGGCCGCCCCTGACACGCCTATAAATATTGATGATTAATCGTATTCAACATCCGATCCTGTACAAATCTTGACAATCTTGTTGACATTTCTGTCGCTACCACAAAATAGATGGAACTAACTCATTGTCTGCCAATTAAGTTAGAGAAATGCAGCTGTCTCATTAACAAATAAATTTATTCCGATCCCTTGCTATTTATTCCCATTCAGCTATTCTGTAGAGGGAAAATATTGAAAATGTAATTTTTCACCAGCAGTTGTTCACCAAAAATATGACATTATATAGCGATACCCAAATGAGGATCACATTTTGCTGCGTTTAATCAACCCATCATATTTCTATGGTAGAATATTTGGAAAGTTATGAAATAATATAAAAATTTATAAATTTAAAAAAAATATTCATCAACTGTCACCTGCTAATCGTAACGTGAAGGACTGGTAACGAGAGTTACTCGTACCATCAGTAACAAAAGGATTAAAATATTCCAGTTGCTTCAGCACCCCGTTCCTAAGTTCTTAAGGTCCACTATTGCGCGCATTCGAACTTCTCGAATATAAAATTCAATTCACAACATTAATCTGACGGTAATGCACCGTACCATTTAGCTTCTAATTCTGATTGTTAATTATCTACCTTAGGAGCCTCTAGCTACTAGTTCCGACAGTTGATTGCTCTAGTGGTCTCATGCATTCGAGACTAAAATTATTCTATTTGGGCTGTTATCGTAGCGCGTGTCAAGCCCTACAAAATCGATAGCCAAACTAACAAGCGCTCTAATGAAGCCAGCTCTCAGATATGGGATTAGAAGGAGCATAGAGTGGGAAGTTTATGCGCCTTATGACTTGCTGGAAATTTGGGCTAAACTATACATGCCAGAATATATTGACTGTTAAGCAGTCGAATTAAATGAATTTCTAGTGAAAAGTCTTGAAACAATGAAACTTTTCGTAATTTGAGCGGTTAGTTTGGAAAATGTACTTTGAATGGTCATATATACATGCAGGAATATTTTGACTGCTGAATTTAATTAACTCACAATACAAATGACTTAAAATTATTAAATTTTTCGTAATTCAAGCCGACAATTTTAAAAAAATTACGACGATTTTCTAATTTGCGACCATAGGAGACCAGAGAATTATTGCATTCCACGGCCACTCCCATACACAAGTTTAATGAAGAACTCAACAAACGAACCTCGACGTCCATCAATCGTAAGGCAGCATTAAATCTTCGCTAAATAACCACAAAGAAAAACCAATAGGTGGATTTTAGGTGGCCACCGATGCAGCGGATATAAAATTGCAGAATCATTGTACACAACTGACGTCTTGAAAGCATTTCTTATCGGCGAAGGGAGGAGAGAACAACGTAAGTGAGATAAACGCCCTCACCGCAGAGATACAAGGCCGAGACTTGCCACATGATGAGGTGCTCATAAAAAATGCGGGTTACTCTTAAAATAAAGGAGTTACTCACAAAAAAATGCGCGGGTTACTCTTAGAATAAGGGAGTTACTCACAAAAACGATGCGGGTTACTTTTAAAATAAAGGAGTTACTCACAAAAACAATGCGGGTTGCTCTTAAAATGAAGGAGTTACTCACAAAAACAATGCGGGTTACTTTTAAAATAAAGGAGTTACTCACAAAAAATGCAGGTTACTCTTAAAATAAAGGAGTTACTCACAAAAAAATGCGGGTTACTCTTAAAATAAGGGAGTTACTCACAAAAACAATGCGGGTTACTTTTAAAATAAAGGAGTTACTCACAAAAACAATGCGGGTTGCTCTTGAAATGAAGGAGTTACTCACAAAAACAATGCGGGTTACTTTTAAAATAAAGGAGTTACTCACAAAAAATGCGGGTTACTCTTAAAATAAAGGAATTACTCACAAAAAATGCGGATTACTCTTAAAATAAAGGAGTTACCCACATAGAGAATTTGGGTAACTCTTAGAATAAAGGAGTTACTCATAAAATCAATTCGGGTTACTTTTAAAATAAAGGAGTTACCCACAAAGACAATACGTTTGGCTCTTAAAATAAAGGAGTTACTCACAATAAATGCGGGTTACTTCTAAAATAAAGGAGTTACTCACACAATGCGGTTTACTCATAAAATAAAGGAGTTACTCACAAAAACAATGCGGGTTACTCTTAAAATGCAGGAGATACTCACAAAAACAATGCGGGTTACTCTTAAAATAAAGAAGTTACTCAAAAGAAATGCGGGTTACTCTTAAAATGAAGGAGTTACTCACAGAAGCAAAAGGAGTTGCCGACAGAAACAGTGGGGTTACTCAACTAAAAAATGGAGATACTGACAGAATCGATAGAAAAACTGTCAGAATCTTTGGAGTTACTGACAGAAACGACAGAAATACTGTCATAATTTTGGGAGTTACTGATAGAAACGATGGAATACTGTCAGAAACGTTAAAGTTATTGACAGAAACGGTAGAAATACTGTCAGAAACTTTGGAGTTACTATCCGAATCGATAAAAATACTGTCAGAAAATTTTGTGTAACTGTCAAAAGCGCGGGGGTTACTAACAAAAATAAAGGTAGTTACTTTCTTAAACAAAGGATTACCACACAGAAACGATGAGCGTATTGTCAGAAATGATGGAGCTACCGACAGAAACACGCAAGTTACCCACAACAATAATGGAGTAACAACAACGGTGTAGTTGTAAAGAAAATTGAAACTTGAAAAGAACAGGTTTTCAAATTTGAAATTAATAATAAAAGAAGACTATATTACACAAAGAAACTATTACTGTTATTTTATTGACTCTAAAACCGGAATACTTCCATTCGTTTCGTAGTTAAAAATTAACAGGAACGTAAAGCCCATTAAATGCATCATAAAAATATAATGCGATTTTAAAGAGTATGGAGAGAACACTGGAAATTAGAACGGTATCCGGCTTATGATTTTTAAAGTGGATAATTGTATGGTCCTCCCATCGCTGTTTGCAATAAAAAACTTTCGTGTTGCATACATACAAAAACTCAACAATACAAGGCTCGAGGTTGTGTGAAGAAAATGTTGTAAGTATATTTCGAGAGTGTGAATATATCAAATAATCGTTTGTGATATTTTCTGTTGTAGCGAATTTAGTAAATGATTTGTAAAATAGGATAAATGAGGAGATAGTTGTGATAAGTTATCAAGTGGTGGGATTAATTTATATAAATAAACAAAAAAATTATGTTTGCAATGTTTGTGCTGCGTATTAGTCCAAAAAGTTGGGTTATTTCGAATGCGGGAGGTGGAAAATTGACAGCACGTGTAGGAAAATTAGGAAAATAATTCAGATGAGAAAAGTTCATGTTTTCAAATTGTGAGAACTAAATGTGACATTGAAAGGAAACAAAAAATTCGAAAAATACTTCACAAAATCTTGTGATGAAGTATAAAATAGATTTTACTTTAATATAGGATCATGTTCCTGCTATCGGCAACTTCAAGTTCGAAGCCGCGAAGGAAAAAAAAGTTTCAAAAGTAGCTCAATTAAGAGAAGAAGAGTTCAGAAAATAGCGCAAATACGGGAGACTTAATTAGAGCAATTAGACAAGATAACGAGCTTGCTCTACCTGCTTGGCTCTTCTCCGTCCATTTTGATTGCTTGGTTAGAAGATAAGAAATTCTCTCTTTGTTTTCTGAGTGTAGAGACACGTGCGTCGACAAATACAAATCTTTAACATAAATAAAAACGATTCAACTAACAGTATATGCGCTAAATACTTTACTACATTGAGGTAGTTTACTTGAAAATTTGGAAAATAAATTGCAGCGTTTTATTAAATATTTAAATGTCGTATATTTGGACGTACACTTAGTACAAGAATATGCAATGCGTTTATTTAAATGGCCGCTCGTGGTAAACTCCCTCTGATGTTTATCAGTATATTTGCGTAGTGTGTTCCTCATCTATATTAAAATCCATCTCTAGTGCACACTTTGGCTTCCAGTAGAATGCATGTTTAGTATACACGCCTAATTCCATCAGAAAATAACCTAGAAGTAACCCTGTCATGCCATCTATCGTAGAACACACTCATCTATTAAAATGGGCGTTTTGTGCGAACACAGCTTGCCATTTATAAAAAAATCTATTCTGTAAATAAATCTCTGCTGTCAATCAGGATGTACAATGGACTGACGTATTCAAACAATCGTACAAGACTTGAGGCTTCAACTGAACAGCTTAGAACGGGTCAGAGCAGAGTTCGCCAACGCAATTTACGTGCAAAACATGTTCAATAAAAAGGCTGCAAAAGCGTAGAACACAACTTTAAAAAATCAGCAGCTCGGCAGTCACTGTATAATTTAATTTATTTTACTTAGCTCAAATAATAGTTAAGGTTTTTCTTTACTGAAGATTATAAAGTTGCTGTTAAATTGAAAAAAAAGTGAACGCTGAACGTCGAAATTTCCGATTGCAATCACGTTTCTATAGCTGTTTTAATGCACACTAAGATATAGAAAGCAATGTAATAATAAGAAAAATAAAGTATATTTATATCCGCACTGATTCGAGTTTTCGAACCGATAAATTAAATATATTTTCTACCACTGCTTAGGAGTGGCGTATAAGTAGAGCCTGCACCTCCCTATGGCGCTGTTCATTAGGGGATTTCACCGCACCTCAGCTACCGATCCCGCTGCCTCTCAGCAGGCTCTTGAATGCCTCGAGTGCCGCCCTACGAATTATTTAATGTAAAAAGACCTACAGAGCACCTTACTTATTATTTAGGGTTAAACGGTTTTATTTACGCTATAACGGATAGTGAGTGCTGCTGACCGTATTGTTTACGCTATAACGGATAGAGAGCGCTGATGGCCGTTTATTTACGTTATAACGGATAGAGACCAGTGCTGCTGACCGTGTTGTTTACGCTGAAACTGATCTAGAGTGCTGCTAACCGTGTGTTTACGCTAGATAGAGAGTGCTGCTGACCGTATTTTTTACGCTATAACGGATAGAGAGTGGTGCTGACCGTATTGTTTACGCTATAACGGATAAAGAGTGCTGCTGACCGTATTATTTACGCAATAACGGATCAAGTGTGCCGCTGTATAAATTATTTAATGCATAAATATCTATTTTATAAACCTATTTATAAACCTTTTATTCACCCTAGAATGTCTATAGAGGGTCACCGTACGTATTATCTACGCAAAAGATTTACTGATTGCCGCTGTACGTATTATTCCCGCTCTTTATGGACATAAAAAAATACGGTGAAAAACTGCATTGTTTTTTTTTGGTTCATTTGGTTCATAGGTGCGGCCAAAGAATTCTTACCTAATGAATTCAACGAGGAAAAATTTTCGATTGGCGATTGAATTTAAATTTGGAACCGGTGTTCTAAGGTTCAATGTTTCCATTTAATTAGTAATTGATTAACCATTAACTTGCAGGATTATTGTACTTCATCAATGAGCATTTTACATTAAATTGCGTAATAATAGGAAGCGGATTGTTCATGTACAGTTTGCATCTGCAAATCGGGCTTTAAATTGATGCTCTGAAACTGAACAATAACAATAACATTATACGCTTATAGTATGCAACTATAAAACTCTAGTACATAAAAACTCTATATAGTATATAAAGTTTTACACGCTAATATAGGTATAATAATGGAAATAATATTAGAAGTAAAAGTTAATAATAATAATAATAGTAATAACAATAATAGAAATGAATTTTCAATGCACAAGACTAAAATGATATGGTAACGCTTTAGCAATAATTATAGGCAAATAACATTGAAGCGTAAAAAATTTAAATAACCATGAAATAAATAAATAAAGCCTACAATAAAACATCAACAAACATTTATCTGTGAGTCGAAGGAGCGAACATCTTGCTATTTGCATTCGCATTTCTACTCAGTTGTCAACACAAAGACTGCCGAGATAAGCCCGGCAATGAGCACTTTCTTCTTCGCCAGCAATGACTTTATATTGCAGCATTAAGATAGCAACAAATACTTGCAGTGTCACAAAAGTTTTTGATGTGTGTTAGCTGCATATCTTGGGACTCATCAGCACTTTCTACCTTGTACATTTTGGGGTCATTTTTTATGAATATTTAGTGGATAATTTCAACGAATTATTTTACCCAGCCGTACGCTGCTCCTGAATCCTTCATTCAATTGCTGTATGACGTTCATAACTAAATTAATAAATGTAGGCTGGTTTATTTTCAGTTGTGTTTTACGTAGCACAACCTCGCTTTTGTCTCTTACAGCCTCTCAGGCGAGGCTCCGGCATTCACTGAGAAAAATGAATGAGTCAAAATGTCCAAATGGTGATACACTTTCCGCATGTTGCACTGATACGCCCTAATTCTGGGCAAAACTGGGTCAGGATGACCCACATAAATGCAAAAAATGAATCGCTATTTGGACAATGAGTAACTTATTTTGCGCAGTATTCTGCTTTGGATGCCCATACGATAGCACTACAGTCACAGAAAAGCGATAACTTACCCATGTTATACAGTTAATTCATTAAAAATTAACTTTAATATGTTATATTGTATTTCACTTTATTCCTCCGTTCATATTTTATTTTTTCGTCACTCAGGATTTCATCTTTTTCATGTAAATCTGGATTTTCTCAGCTGATTGTAAGTGTATTCTATAATATTTTTTTAAACTGATGATGGAGCAGAACACCGAAACGTTATCATTGAAGATTTGGTGGATTTACCTGGTGCTTACTTTGCTTATAAAATCGTGGTGTACTTTGCAATTTAAGCAGAATACTGATATAAGTACTTTACCTCTTTTTAAAACAATTTTCTGAAGCAATTATTTTATGTCACGCAACAAATTATAACAAAATTTTATGGTTGTATTTAATTATTTACCTTAGCGCTGCTCTCCATTGGGTTCCAGTACACGCAGATGGCGTTGTGTGATATCTCTTCAATAGAGCCAATAATACCCGAGCTGTTCTTCGTATCTGTGAAACAAAAGTACAAGTGGGTTAAATTGATGCTTTTGGTTTAAGATCCTGAGTTTTCAACCCATTAACCAAAAGGGTTCAAAATGGTATCGAGACAGACTAGCCTATTTTTGGGCAAGACGACATTATGAGTGCTAAGACAAATGGCCGTCAGCTTGCCCATGTGTTGTACGTCGAAGTCATAAATCCTGCATCTTTTCATGATCTCTGATAATTATCTTATTGGAACAACAGCTATTCGCTTTAATTGAAAACAGCATTGTTAAGAGTGGGTGAGCTGCCGCCTTTAAGCTGCATGCCACTAAATCTCATATTAAATAACTCCTTCAGTTTACAATATGTGATTAAAAGCACCCCCGCCATGCTGGATAAATTATGACGTTCCAAGAGTTTTTTCTTCAGTTAGCACTGCGCCATGCATACCTCAGCGCCAGAAGCTGATTGTTACCATCATTCTTTGCTGTTTGATCGAAAAACTCATGGTTTGCTTTAAAAAAATCCGTTGACTGAGTGAATTGAATGCATGAATCAGTGCAGTTGGTGTTTGAAACAATACATAATAATGAGAGTTGGAATGATGAGCTTGAATTAAAATTCATAGCTTTTAAATGAATTATTTGAGTAACGAGATTTTATTGGTACTATGGCCCAAAGTATTAATTGAAAAGTTTTATGGCATGACGTTAACCAAGCCATGAAATAAATATCTGAACAAACTGAAGAGTAATAGAAATGGTTCTTAAAAATCTGCTTAGGTTGCATGGAATAAATCGTATGGTAGCTAATGGTCACAAACTCGGTTATATTTCTGAAAACCCTTAATATCATCTTCGACCAAACATCATAGCCTAATTCCTATTATCTTTTAAATGAACGGTCTTCGATTTTCTCTCAAGCTCCCAACTTTTCGAGATAAATAATGTGATGATAACACTGAAAACTGTCAGCATGTACGCTTTTTAACGCTGTTGTCATTGATGTTGGTATTGGGAAACAATGAGTATGATTTCAGACATGGGATTGGAGGAGAGAAGGCGGTTATTTTGCTAGCTTGTAGGGTATTCATCATGTGGAGATCGGCATCAGGCGCCACAACCTATCATTGCAGGACCGGTGGTCCGAGGCTAAATACACATGCTGGAATATCTCAAATTTTTCATTTCATCCTGTCGAAAACTCAGGCCCGGTACCGGCACATCAGGAGCGAAAACATCGGAGTGGCATTGCATCGGCGTAACATCGGTGAATCATCGGCGTAACATCGATGAATCATTGCCGAGGCGCCAGCGCATTTTAATTTTTTTCAGATCCTAGTTCAGCAAGCGGCCTTTCTGCTAAATCACCTAAATTCTCGGCCGTCACTTCAAATCACCTTGGGACTTTCGTAAAAAATGTATTTGTTTAAATCTTACTTACTCAAGCAAAGTAGTTTTTTGACAACACGGCAAGAATTAATCAGTAACTCAAACGTTCTGTTACCGTTGTAACTGACTGTAAAGTTCGGAGTGCCGGCTCGTGATAACCTTGATTTACGTTGATGACATGAGTATCATCATCGAAAGCGTAAAATATAGTCGTTCATTGCAGATAGCATCTCTGTCTTAAATCAGCATCCGCATTTTTTTCAGTGATCGTTCATGGTCCAGAATAACGGACGGAAGAGTCGCGTTCATGATAGACTCTTTTCGAATTTCCGGCTTAACGCACGCTATATATTGTTGAAAAGGTGTGCCAATGTAAGTTCAGTACGATATTAGAAAGAAAATAGTTATCTTTGTTATATTGAAAACGGAAATCTTTCGCTTCACATTGCGGACGTTAATTGTACATTGCATGTCTGCAGAAATTTTTATTCAAATTTGAATTATATGTTGCCAAGGGTGCGATAGTGGCGCCAAGCTAATTTTTATCAAAATGTATTGTATTGATTGTCAATATAGCCACATCTTTCCAAGCCTGCTATTTTTATTTAGATAGACACATTTAAAAATATTTGATTAGATTTACGGTGTTTTTGGGGCTCAAAAGATATCTTCGTCGCCAGAGAATAGAGTGCAGACCTGCACCAGCACCGAACTGTAGGTGATTATGCAAACATTAAGCGGTACTTGATTTATAGTCCGAGAAGCTACCGTGTAATTCTCAACAAAATTCCGCCTTGTTTGTAATTATGTAGCATTTTTCTGTTTTCTCGACTTAATTTTTCTTGCTGCCAAATCGACATCATTTATAAAAATGAGTAATGAACAAATAAATTATTGGAAACTCCGCACTAGTGATAGTGCGTGAAATGCATTGAACCCAGGAATATTTTTCGATATTGGAACTCTTGGTCTCATTTTAGCTTTGGTATTCGTTGGCTGGAGTTAAAATTTTTGCGTTTATAATTTTTACTTGCGCATCTTGCTGGCTACTAAAATGCATGAATTTCAGCACTACGTTGCAGCGCACAAATTGCAGCTGAAATTTAAGCTCTTTCCCTCATTTTACCTCAGCGGTAAAAATATTTTACATATTCGAAATGAAAATATATCTGGCGACGGACGGTGAGGTGGAAATTTTATGACTGATTTTGAAGGTTACTTTCGAGCGTGAATCAAATTACGCATTTTATATTGCAGGGAATTATATCGAACTGCAAAATAAATTCACCTGAAAGAGAATTAAGTCAGGTTTTTCAGAAAATTAGGAAAAAAATCGTGAAAAGAAAACTCTGATGCATGAAAGATTACATAAATTCTAACATACTTTCTCCGGTTACATATTAAAACGCATACGGGAATTTTGCTCGTAAGCTAAAATGCACCATGGAATTTTATTTTACAAAGGCTATAACAAAAAGAGAAACTAAATTAAACTCCAAGGCGGTTAGCGGAAATTCCGACATTTTTCAGCGGCTTTCTCGCTAAATTCGTGCCTGTTCCGGCACCCGTCTCGTGAACTTCACACAAAGAGAAATGAGTGAGATTTCGTCCAAATAGCGTTGCACTTCTTGCCCTTATATGGGTTATATTGACCTAGTTTTACCGGGCAAGAGAAGGTATCAGTGTTAATGGCGGAAATTTTGTCACAATTTGGAAAAAATTACCAATTTATTTCTCTGAGTGCAATCCAAAATGACGTCATCACTGCGATAGAGCCAAGTCGAATGCAACAATTATTTGGTGTTTATTATCCATGGGGGAAAAAGGCAGCTGTAATTTGGAATCATTTAAGAATTCGACACGCAGATTCCTAGGAGCTTGGCAGACGATACCGCTACTCCCACACGTCTGCTTAACATCCCATGCAAGGCGGATTATGGGCGACAAATGAGTGGCATACGGTCGGCCGACCATAACGCGGCCATAAAATTGATAGAAACGTAGCCTCACGTGCCAAACGATTGAAATTTCGAAACTTATTTGTCGCAATGTACGATTTGAAACGCGACTAAGACTGCGCTTTTTTTTTCTGTGACCGTCTCAAGGAAGTAATTCCTGGGATGGCAATCATATCTTTTGTGATACTTTGTGCCCGAAATGTTCTTTTAAAGGCACATGCCGTTCGAGTTATGTAAAAATAATTATTGGAAATTCGAGATGGAAATTCGGATGGCCCGAATGCTTGTAACTTTTTAGAAGAATAACAATAATTGGTAAAGCCTCTCATGCACAAAATTCATTATTTATAATATTAAAATTTAATCCCTTTCTCAGTGAATGATAACGATAATCAAAGCTGCAAACTAGCTGAAAAGTTGTGCGCTATTTTGGTAAAAAATGCTTGTAATATAAAGCGAGAACCTTGTATTAGAATTTATACATTTATAATTTCTTGACTGGATTTTGTGCAATCCTTTTAATAATCTGTATTATCTCGTTTAACCCTCTTATTCTTTACAAAGCCTCTAATTAAAAAATGGAGCATTCCTGGATTTATGTTACTTTAGAGCTCAGTAACATCAAATTTAAAATAAAACTTGGAATAAACTCTTTAAACCAAAGAATTAATGATATGATTTAATTCGGATTTGATTTTTTTAAAGATCAAAATTAGAATTTCGAAGCAGTTCCTACCCTCGCCATGAGGTAAATTCTCGCACCCATGTCCATCATACTCATGTCTATCGTAGGCATGGCCATCGCAAGCATGTCCATCAATCGCATGTCCATCAAAGGCATGTCCATCGTACGCATGTCCATCGTACGGAAAATTGAGATAATCTTCTTGGAATAAAAGGTTGGGCGTAAAGACAGGCAGAGCACGCGGTGCTGTAATATTAGACTATGTAATATTGGTAACATTGAAGAACGCATTTTCTAGACGAATAAAGTGACACTTATTACATTCACGTACAATGCTCTTGCAGCTGACATAAGACAGCTTAATTATAATTAAATATATTAATCAGAAATTTGGACCAACGTAGATTAGGGCTCTGCACTGGACACCCACTCTGAATTTATTTTCATATTATGACACCCTTTTGCCTTCATCTTCACATACATATTTTTGTTTATGTATGTATTAATATTTACAATGCCTCCCTCACTTCGTACAACTGGATAAATACATTGATTTAAAATTTTAAATTTAAAATTTAAATCAGGCTACGCGATGACACGTTGCACATATATGTTGTCTGCCAAATTTTTTTAAATTAATAAATTTGTTTGACTCCGATTTTGTAACAAAATGACGAAAATTCAAAATCATTTCCATAAATTTCCAGCATAATTCAGTCATGCCAGAGGAGAAATGAATATTTCCAGAGAATCTAATAAATTTGTTTGACTTCGATTCCGTAACAGAGAGAACGAAAATTCAAAATCATTTCCATAAATTTCCAGCATAATTCAGTCATGCCGGAGGAGAAATGAATATTTTCAGAGAATCTAGTAAATTTGTTTGACTTCGATTCCGCAACAAAATAACAAAAATTCAAAATCATTTCCATAAATTTCCAGCATAATTCAGTCATGCCGGAGGAGAAATAAATATTTTCAGGGAATCTAATAAATTTGTTTGACTTCGATTCCGTAACAAAATAACAAAAATTCAAAATCATTTCCATAAATTTCCAGTATAATTCAGTCATGCCGGAAGAGAAATAAATATTTTCAGGGAATCACACGAGTTTCGAACGAGGTCAGGCAGAAGCAACTGAGATTTTGCCTCCGTATTCTGGGCAAGGCAGGTTTGCTAACGCAGGTTGAAAAACTGGTTACAGCGGTCGAAACCGTAAGGTTTCACCCAAGAAAAAACTCTCTTAAGTGCCAATAAAAAAGATTTTTGACGCTGGCTCTCGATGACATGGAGCAACATTTTGAGAGTCATTCTTTACTAAAAGGTTAGCCTGGAGTTGCTCGGTTGATTGTAAGGTATAATAAGTAACCTGTTAACCTGGCATGACAGGTTAGCCATGGGGTTCTCATAACGTTAACCTGACGTATATGATTGCGGAGTTGTTTTAGAAATAAACATATTGAAATGAAAGAAGAAAAATTCATGAAATAACGGATACAATTCTACTGATGTACTTTGAAAACTCGTTTAAGTACACTCGTTTCTACCATCATCTTCTACCCACCGACATCGATGATGCGTTGTTTGACCGAGTGCTGCCTGCCGTGCCAGAAATGCCAGGCCTTTAATTCATCTTCCGGAGTTTTCTCTTCTCTGAACATCAACATGACGATACTCTGAGGAAAAATAATGATAAAATAATGATTATGATGATGTTATGCAGGAGAAAAATTATATATTATTATACAGAAAATATCTAATAATATACGAGTTTTCTCTCCTCGAACATCAACATCACGATACTCTGAGGAAAAATAATGATTACGATGATGTAATGCAGGAAAGAAGTAATATATTATTATACAGAAAAATATACATACGCAAGAAAATGAATTTAATTAATACAGAATTATCTCTTCTAGTTTGCTCTTCTCTGAAAACCAGCATTACGGTGCTTTGGGAAAAAATTAATTTTGCTGATGATATGCAGGAGGAACAAATTATTATATAATAAAAAATTTATGTACACGAGGAAATGAGTTATCTATTTATACAAATTATCTATTTTACGAGAAAAAATGCGTTTTGGTCTATGATTACGATTGTTCCTATTCTGCAATTAAGAAAAAAAGATATTTGACGATTACAATTTTACAATATTCTAAACTGGTGCTTAGATAAAAAAATATATTTTTAAATTAGAATTATGTAATATTCGGTCCACGTGCACACAGAAGGTAAATTTACGTTATTTCGAGCTTCGATATCGAAGAAATTCTGCAAAAATACGAGAGCAGCGCGATTAGTGTATTTAAGTCATTCAACATTGCGTGAAATTCTTGTATTTTGTTGTATTTCCGTATACAGACCGCCAAGGAGCAGCATAGGCATTTAAAACTATTCGGATAACAAGATCCATTACTATTTCTTCGATAGGCATTTAAATTAAACAGGCATCTGGAATAAAAAAAGAAACCTACCGAGGAATTTCCTAACTCTAGATAACGAGCGCGTCTAGCCTCGGCTTCGAATTCTGTGCAATCAAATTCCGAAAGATTAGCTCGGTTTCAGTCAAACTTAATGAGGGAACAAAGTGGGCTTACGGCTGAACAAGACTTGAATGTTCAAGAGACTTGAATGTTCATCCAATTGTAATCTTCAAGCAAAAAGACTTGTATGTTCATCCACTTGTAATTTTCAAACACGATCGCTCCAGTCGAGGGCACTTGAGAGCTACCGACTCTCTCACATGACAGACTCACGCATTCGTGGCGTTATCATTTGGGTGTTGTGAATGAATATGTTATGAATCAAGGAATATATTCCTCCATACACAATAAACCTCGTCAAACTTGTAATAGTAACTACATATTGTATTTGTAATGTATCTCAAATGACCACATAAAACAACAACAGAAAATAGTTAATAATCGTTGAAAACTGGAAAACATAACTTGAGAGCTACCGACTCTCTCACATGACAGACTCACTCATTTGTGGCGAGATGACAGTGAACATATATACTCAGAAAAATGAGTGAAAATTTGTCAAAAAACAGTAAAATTTCGGTCTGTGCGTAGGGTCTTCCTGACTCAGTTTGGTCCGGCAAAAGCGCGTACCATTGCTACGTCTGCTACCTGTTCGTATTGTGAGCTGGAAAATGCGTCACATTTGTACATTAATGCCCATACATTTATCCGGGTATACTTAAATCTACTTTCGTTCACCATTTGATTTTTGGTCATGTATAATCTTGAGAAGTCGTTTTCCGTTTTTTTAATTCGAGCAGTTTTATCGCAGCTGACAACATACAAGCTTTATAAACTACAATCGCAAAATGATTTGCATGTAAACAAAGTTAAAGCTTCAAGAATATTCTGTTGGTATTCCAGTAATGATAGCGATTCTGCTGCTTTTAGTGCTAGCATTGTTAGTTATTGTAATGATGTCAGTGCTCCAAAGATAATAATCGAATTGACGTTAAGTCACGTGTTCGGTAATTATCATCAGTAATCACGTTTGAAATTCAAATTTATAAGCCAATAATTTTATTTATTTTTACTTAACAACTACCTATGCCCAATTGGTACATACAATAATATGAATGCGTTTTCTCACATACATTCAGCATGATGTAGATCATTCTCCAGGATGAATGTTCTCGCTCTATTATAGTTAAGCTTCACCTGTTCTATACCTCACTTATATAGGTGCGCCATATCATGTGAGGAACTCTATTGTATTCGTCGTCATTATATATCTCCTATTAGAGCTTCCAAAGTGCCATTCAGAACCATTGCATGAGCCACCACTCTAAACACTCTAATAATGCCACTCAAAACACTCATATAAAACCCACGGCGCTCTAACGAGGGTATAACTGATATACCACGAATCGTGTAACTTGGGTTCAGATTTTTCGAGGGTTCATTTGAGACCCTCCTGTTTAATAACAACTAATAAAAACCATTATTATGGATGGGAATTACAGATCATTAAGCCATTTCAAGGTAAACAATGAAGCTGCTAATCTGTTTGCAATCGGAACTTCGTATCTTTCAGCCAAAATTATGCGTGAATATTTTAATGATTCATTAAGAATGCCTAAATTGGTTAATTACAATGGGTAAATATGTTCTAGTTATTCAACCTCAACACTGAAAGAAAATGCAGCAGCAGCAGCAGCAGCAGTGGCAGCAGAAATTGCGAATTTAGTTAAAAAATAAACTTTGACTGCTCAATAATTGCCCCGAAATCACTTGAAATATTTCACGTTATTTTGATGTTTAATTTAAAAATAATCTATCGCATTTTTCATGTACGGTTATTATTTGCTTACAGATAATGATTTGCTCCTTATCATTTCTTATTTATGCCTAAAAATGTTCTTATTTACACAATTTATTTATCTACTGCGAAAATATATCCTCTATAACAGTTACAGTTAGGCAATCGATACCATAATCGTGAAATGTAGAATAGCTGTTTTCTATAATTTCAACATAAACGTGAAAATTAGCGCGCATGTGCGATCTGTAAAAGTTAATAATCGCACCGCATGAGAAATGTTTGGTATTTATGAATTCCAAGCATTGCAGAGCCCATTTCAATTTGTCAATTTCGAGGCCGTAAAAAATTTCAAGAATGCCCAATGATGACCAAGTGAATAAGGCTTTTGACAACAACGCTTCTCTGTACGTCGGAGCTACGCAAACATTTGCATTTGAGATATTCCTTCCATCATCAGGAGGATTTACTTCGTTAATCCGCTGGTGAAATGAACCATTGTAGAAAATAAAAATTTACGAAATGATCAGCGATGCTGGTCTGAAGCGATGATAGTCTGAAAATTGCGAAATAATTAACGTTTAATTTTATTTTTCCGTCAAACGGTGAAAATTCTAAAATATTTAGAAGGCTTTCACGACGTGTTTTAGGTGGAATAGAATAAATAAGTTAGGCTTTATGATTTACATTGTAACGAAATTCATCTCAAACATGATCCGTTTGAATTGCTATATTTAATTTTGATATAATAAGTGAATTGGGAGTAAATATTTCATGAATTTAATTGCAGGCAGATAAAAAAATCATATGAAATGAGGTTTTGGATTGATTTTTTTCGTGATAGTCGATCATATATTACCGTGAAACTTTATGGTATGAATCATAATATTCGAGCTTCTTCTAAACTTCTGGCACAAAAAAAAAATGCAATGATTAGGTACATTATAAATCTTAATTTAGTTCATTCAGTTACCGCATAAATTAAAAGTTAGAGCTATTTTATACAATGCTTCTTATATACCGCGATGCTAAAAGCTATTTGTTCAGAGCCATCATCTTCTCCATATAGGCTGAATTCTCCATGTAGGCATCAGTGTTTCTGAATTTTTCACTAAATTTGATAGTGTAGTAAGACAGCAAAATGTTGTACTGTCATACTCAGCTTGATTTGGAATTTAATTAGAGAGATAATTGGCAATATTGGTAAATGGGATCACTTATACGATTCCAATGTTATTCTTACCGACAACCAGTGTCTCGTATATCGGAATGGCGAACAATCGAGCTATAGGCCAGCAAATTAATAGCATATCAAAGACTTTTGTACATGAGACTTGGCAACATTATTGAAGACTTTTTTCTGGCAATATTACGGAAGACTTTTTCTGTTAATATTATTGAAGACTTCTGTAGGCAACAAGTTCGGTATAATTCTTTCGTGCCTTATGAAGTGAACAGGAAACAGACAAAAACGCGCGTCTGTCGACAGAAGCAGATAAGACTTCGGTCTGTACATGATGGAGTAGCTTGAGGTGCAAGTTATTTTTATTTATTTTTATTTAAGTTATTTATGTGCGTAAATAATGAGAAGTCCATGGGGCGATTGCAGTACAAATACCAGCTGGTACAGTCCATAGAATAAGGCTAGATGAAGGTATAATTAAATTGGTTTCAAATTTTTATGTAATTGCAGTAAAAATACCAGCTTGTACAATCCATAGAATAAGGCTAAATGAAGTAATAAATTTGTTTCCAATATCCATGTAATTGCAGTGGAAATACCAGCTTGTACAGCCATAGAAGAAGTATAGATGAAGGAATAAATTGGTTTAAAATTTTTATGTAATTGCAGTGAAAATATCAGACTGAATAGCCATACTCTGATCGCATAGTTAATTTTAATTCATTGTAAATAATAAATGATCTCCTAACACAATGCGGTGGGAAATTCATCTCATTAGAAGCCCCACAACTTGTCGATTAATTAATCGATATTTTTTACTGAATTTATATCTTGAGTATTCAGCCCACGTGGTTTCTTCAGATAATCCTCTGAAAAACAATGAACGCTACTCTATTTTTTAACAATGTGAATCCTGGAAACATTCTTCATTTGTAATGATAAACCCAGAAAAATATGAACGCAATTTTTTAAATTTTTTCATTTTTTACTTTAAATTAATCCTAATTAGTGATGAAAAGGAAGTAAACTAATCCGGAATTATATACGCCTTTAATGTCGAACATTTGTATTGATTCAGAACAAAAACATCTGTAATATTCTGGCAAAATGTTTGAAGATAATCAATCGCTTTAAATTAGAGAAGAAGCTGATGGAATATAGGAATTGAATGCCATCAAGCAAATATATTGAACGTTACTTGAAGAA